CGTCGTTTTGATAAACATTCTGTCAAATAATAAGGATGTGTTTTTTTTTAAATCAGAGTAAGCTCGTGCCGAATACATAATATTATGATACATTTTAACTTTAAAAACTCTAAGCTAGGGATGCGACATTTTCAAACAACATTGTACAATGTATCGATCAGAATGTATATATATAGTTTCAAAAAATATATATTACTAGCTTTTGCCCGCTATTTCGTCCGTTTGGAATAGTTAACATGACGCAAAATTTTACCCGCCTCTTCATTTACGTAGAAAGTGAAAATATTATTAATAATAGAATGTTAAGGATTTTTTATTTTTTTTATTGCTTCGATGGATGGACGAGCTCACAGCCCGCCTGGTGTTAAGTGATTACTGGAGCCCATAGACATCTACAACGTAAATGCGCCACACACCTAGAGATATAAGTTCTAAGGTCTCAGTATGATTACAACGGCTGCCCCGCCCTTCAAACCCAAAACGCATTACTGCTTCACGGCAGAAATAGGTAGGGCGGTGGTACCTACCCGCGTACCTACTCACAAGAGAGGTTCTACCACCAATAATTACGCAAATTATAATTTTGCGGGTTTGATTTTGATTACACGATGTTATTCCTTCACCGTGGAAGTCAATTGTGAACAGAAAAAAAAGTTGTTGAGTACGTATTTCATCAGAAAAATTGGTACCAGCCTGGGATTCGAACACCGGTGCATCGCGAGATACGAATGCACCGGACATCTTATCCTTTAGGCCACGACGGCTACATTTGCTTTTTTTATTATTACTTTCATGGGTGGACGAGCTCACAGCCTACCTGGTGTTTTTTTATTTTTTTATTGTCCGAGCAGACTGACGAGCATACGGCCCACCTGGATGGTAAGTGGTTACCGTCGCTCATGAACGTCAGCAATGCCAGGGGCAGAGCCAAGCCGCTGCTTACCTGGTGTTAAGTGGTTGCTGGAGCCCATTGACATCGACAACGTAAATGCGCCACCGAACTTGAGATATAAGTTCTAAGGTCTCAAGTATAGTTACAACGGCAGCCTCACCTTTCGAAATGCATTACTGCTTCACGGCAGAAATAGGCAGGGTGGTGGTACCTACCCGCGCGGACTCAAAAATTCAAAAACATCAGATGAATAAAGTTAATAAAGAGGCATATCCTGGAAAAGGATCAGGCCAAAAGTTCCCGCGAGGAGAATAAGAGTAAAAGGAGAGTAATTGGATAATGGGCAGCAGTATACTTTGAGTATTTTACAAGAGTGCTGCGATCGCCAATCGGCATCTATGTGACCTTGATCTTGTGACATAAAGTCGAATTCTCAATCGTATAAGGGTTGTCTCACCCTTCTTATGGGAGCACATGACCGCTTCACCGCAGAAACGGGCTAGATGATGGTACCTACCCGTGCGGGCTCACACAATACGCCATACCATCATTACCCACCTGTCCTGGTGAAACTGGAAAGCCCTTCGGGCCACCATACTTCAATCATAAAAAAGTATTCAGGAAGGCATTAAAGGAGCACTATCTATCAATTTAGTATTACTTATATGTATTTATTTTATGTATTTCATTATATATGTACGTGTATGTATATGTTTATGTTATTTATGTGTGTAATTGTGTATGTATATAGTTTGATATTATGTATTAGTGTTTATTTTTGTTATTTTTATTGCTAATTACATTGTACTCATCTACCCACTAATGTAAAGCTTTCCTTCTTTGAGAACGGTTAGCTGGTAGATAACTCAATTGTTGAGTTAAGCTCGCCATTTTTTATATCTTATCCCAATTACTGTATTTTATTAACAGTGTGTACAAAATAAAGAATAAAGAAGAAAAAAAAACCATCATTAAAGTATTACCATTAAAGAAACTAAAGCGGCACTAAATCGAATGTTTGTGAATCGACGTTAAATTAATCTTCTATTTTGGCGTAGTTTTTTTTTTTTTCCTACCTAAGCTGATAGCCTTGAGAGGCTATTTCAGCGTAACCTTAACTAGTAGGTGACCTCACGGGGCTCAAACTGGAGTGATGCTAACACTGACCCTAGCAAGAGCAGTGCTTCGCAGAGTCTACCACCGGATCGGAATCGCGACCCACTGAGAAGATCCGGCGAGAAACTCAGTGGGCTGTGTCTATGGGTTAATTCGCTCGTCGAGCCGTCGCAAGCGACGGGTTCGACGCGGACGGTGACCGGGTGGCGTAGTAAGTCAAATAACTGAATTTCTCGCCGGATTTTCTCAGTGGGCCGCGATTCCAATCCGGTGGTAGATTTAGTGAAGCACCGTTCTTGCTGGCGCAAATATTCTTTGAGACTAACTGATTACCCCTCGAGGACATTGGCTGACAGAAAAGTGGTAAGTAATTTGTAACTGACTCCAAGAAAGTGGAGGTTCTATGTTCGATTGTAATTGTATATTATTAATATGTTCACCGATTCCTACGTCATTTGTGGAGCGAGTTCGTTAATATATGTCGAAGTGTGAGGTTAATCGATATACTTCACTATTTTAAAGTCAGTTTTTAATGAATTTTTTTAACATTCAATTATGTACAGTTTATTAACTACGTCTAATTGTTTTTCAAAAAGAATAAAGCACTGATATCTGAATCTGAAAGAATCTAATGTACCTAACATAATCATACGGTTATTGGAGAGATAAAAAAGTTATATCTTCTTTAAACCCAATATAATGGTTTATTAATATAAAAATAAATAAATATAAATAAACATTTACTAACAATCACGCCACGTTAACTGGTCCTGTGATAAGTTTGTAAAGAACTTGTGTTACAGGTACCAGATAACGGAAATAAATGTAAGATTTTTTATTATACACATAAACATATTTAATATACATCCATAACTCTGGAAAAGACATTTATATTTATCATACAAATATCTTCTCTTGGCGGGATTCGAACCCGCGACCCCCTTGTGTAGAGACCATGTCACTTACCACTACACCAGACGGCCGTTAAATTGTTTTTCAAAAAGAATAAAGCACTAATATCTGAATCTGAAAGAATCTAATGTAACTCACATAATCATACGGGTATTGGAGAGATAAAAAAAAGGTTATTTCTTCTTTAAAAGCAATATAATGGTTTATTAATATTCATAGTGATTGCAAAACTTATTTGAAACTATCGCATTACTATTTCATCTACCAATAAATAAATACTCTTTAAAAAAAACCTTCATTTATTGTTACTAATGTTTTAAAAACTCCCTTCTTGAAGCTAAAGTAAAATAAATAAACCCTTATCAATTTTTGAAGATGTAGCTTCAGTTCAGTAGTTACAGTTTTGTATGTGCATAATTAAATTTATTAACATATCGACGCTTGAAAGGCAAACGTGACTAAGCGACAATGCGTGAATTTACAGTAAACTAATTTAAAGTGGAAATACATGAAAAAAAATCTATTTTAACGAATCTAGCTGTAGGATTGAAATGATTTTAATAGACCTAGAAATGTATTTTTTTTGCGCATCGAATATGGTTATAGCCTATCATTTATGTATAAAGCAGTTATTGTCGCTTAGTCACGATTGCCTTGCAAGCGTCGATATGTAAAAAAAAAATATAGGAAAAAAAAAGATGGCAGTGTCATAAAGCTGTCTTCAACATGCAATTACTGTTACGTTGTGGTAATTGAGCGTGGACTGTATTTATTGTTTTAAGATTATTTTACCCTTAAATGACAAATAAAAGACGTTCGAAAGTTCACGATTGACTTCCACGGTGAAGGAATAACATCGTGTAATAAAAACCAAACCCGCAAAATTATAATTTGCGTAATCACTGGTGGTAGGACCTCTTGTGTGTCCGCACGGGCAGGTACCACCGCCCCGCCTATTTTCGCCGTGAAGCAGTAATGCGTTTCGGTTCGAAGGGTGGGGCAGCCGTTGTAACTATACTGAGACCTTAGAACTTATATCTCGAGGTGGGTGGCGCATTTACGTTGTAGATGTCTATGGGCTCCAGTAACCACTTAACACCAGGTGGACTGTGAGCTCATCCATCCATCTAAGCAATAAAAAAAAACTTAATATAGGCGAAATATAAAATTGATAGCTGGATTTGAAAGAGAATTGGTGTCATGGCGGACGTCGCTCGTCTAACATTTTGACGTTCGGAAATTGAGCAAGTACCCACTTAATGAATTAGAAGTTAATTTGACCTCTATCTATATATTAATACGTGAAGCAAAAACTTTGTATCCCTTTTTACGAAAATTGCGCGGACGGAGGAGTATGAAATTTTCCACACTTATAGAGAATATAGAGAAGAAGTGCACAATGCTAATATTTTTTTTAAATAATGCATAAAAGATACATTAAATCAATAAATAAAACATTACACACACTACATACCATGTATTTGACGCACACNGTACCACGAACACAGAAACAACAAAAGGAAACAAAACAAATAAAAACTTCCAGAAAGAGCACTTAGTCGGCAGATGTACCACAAACACAGGCCGCGCGAACAATGGCCGGGCTAACAAAAGCCGGGCGAACAAAGACCGGGCGATCGAGTGGTCGATGAGCACGTCCGCACGTGACGGGTGCCTCTATCGGAATGATTTCGACTACTGCGGGACCACTAGTACTATTAATTTTATCAGAAAGTATAATAAAATAATTAGTACGAGCGAAGACAGTCGGGTAATCTATATACATACAATAGTTACTAGCAAACAAAGATAGTGCCATGCACACGACAAATAAATATATTATTTCATTTGTAACTTTTTATCTTATTTCTGAGTTTAACGAACTCGGTCCATTAAAATTGCATTCGTTGAAGTGTTAAATTGTTTCTAGATTCTTTTTGAAACTAGAAGAAAATGAATGTAATTTATTAATTAAATTCAAGTTAAAAAATACCAGAAACGTTGCGACTTGTCCATAGCAATTCTAAAGTTAAATAATAGGTTTTATCGATACTCATTTCAACGTTGTTTATCTACACTGCGGTCGCGTGCTCTTGTAAAAACAAAACCCGATCAGTTTAATGTGTGTGAGACAAAGGATTCAGTCATTTTAATTGTCTCAATAATGTTATTTGTTTTTAATCAATTCTCGTCGGAATAATTGATACAGGTAATTAATTAATTAATTATAAAATCTCTAATTTCAGTAATTTAAACTTAGTAATTTCTTTAGTTTTCGTGATTCGTGGACAGAATTAAAAATACTTTTACGGTTTAATTTTGCGTTTTTTATTGTCATTATATTATTTCCGAAGCTTACTTTACATACTTTATAGTGTACTTTACATAATTTACAGTTTACTAAACAGTTTTCGTGGTCACGTACTAAAAAATAAAATGACAATTACATAAAATAATATAATGGCAATTAAAAATACTTTTACGGTTTAATTTTGCATTTTTTATTGGCATTATATTATTTCCAAAGCTTACTTTACATACTTTATAGTGTACTTTACATAATTATAGTTTACCCTACAGTTTTCGTGGTCGCGGACTAAATAATATAATGACAATTACATAAAACATAGCTTGAATTACAATTAAATATATATTGTTAGTAATTTTCGTTAATATTTATAAACATATGTTCGTAGCGCACAGTTTAGAGTCAAGAATTGTTTTCAGTTCTTTTAATGAGCTTTTAAAATGAAAACTTTTTTCTAGAAGGCTTTTTTTTGAAAAATCTTATTTTATTGCATAACACTGAATGAAACAAGTCTCACGACATATTATTCGACGCTTACATTCATATTGGCATTGTTAAATGTAATAAATAAACAACCGTAGGAATTATTGTAAAATATGCAAATAACAAAATGAGGTTTTTGTGTATGTAGTATGTATTTGTAATATGTATGTAGTTAATATAATATTTATAATGTAAATTGAAAGGCGAGCATGCGGCAAGACTTATTTTACTGCCTATTCGCATTTTGCCTAAGGGCGTATTCTAGCTACAATGGCTGATAGGTGAACTCACTGGGCTCTAGAATTTGTCTCTGAAATCTGGAAGGCAGTTCTTTGCGCTCTCGAGTTGATAGGTCTCCTTCGGAGGATCTCGGGCAGCAAACCCCACTCCTCCTGGCGGAGCCTTTGCTTGCCCACCTGTTCTGGTGAAACTGGAAAGACCTCAAGGCCCTTCAGGGACCTTCAATCATAAAAAAAGGTGCGCGTGCAACTTGCCGTACGAGAATGAAGTGAAACTTCTTTTTCGATGTGTAGTATTGTGGTTTTCTTCATTTATCATTCTTAAATTACATTGCTCTTGTAATAAGGAATGATGTTTATTAGAAATGCGACATCGTCAACATTTATATTATGTATGTTTAAATTATAGATAGAAAAATAAATATGTATATTTTTTTAAATACTTTACATTAAATTACTCGTTGCTAACGCTAAAAAAAAAACAACCTTGTTGGAAGTCGTATTCGAAGTTTCACTTCAAAAAAACCAGTGCTTCGCGGAATCTATCTCCGGATCGGAATAGTGATTCACTGAGAAGATCCGGCGAGAAACTCAGTGGCTTGTGTCTATGGGGTTAACTGTGCGGTCTTTGGAGGGTTCGGTGCGGCTATTCCTCCAATCAATCATGGGATTAGGTTCTCGCCCTTGTACAGCTGTAGAATCAAATGCGCAATAATGTGATTTTGGTGATGTATTTACATTACTTTGACAAGAATTTATTAGGTAATAAAGAAGAATTAATGACAAAATTTTTAAGATGCTGTGCGATTTATATTCACGTTATTTTTGTTGTTTTGCTTTTACCTTTTATACAGAAAAAAAAACTAAAAATATTAACGTATACTAGACCAGAGGTTCCCAAACTTATTTTGTCTTTGAGAATAAATTATATTTTAGCGCCCACATATTTTCACCTACTCACAAACCATTATAGCGAGAGCTCAGTCGGTGTCTAAGAGTCCTCTAGATGATATTACAACTCGCCTCCCAGGCCGCTACAGAACGCCCCCATTTTTTTATCTGATCTCATACCGCCCTCCTGCAGCGCCCACAAGGGGCCGTTATCGCCCACTTTGGGAAAGGCGTAATAGACGAATGAATTAGTAAATTATCACAGCGAATTACTTCGATATTTGTATGAATTATAGAACAAAAATAATTGAAAATAGCAGACGATATAACGTGTCTATATAATATATTTGTATGCCGATAGAGACAAAAACTTTAAATGTATCGAAAAGTGAAAGTGTTTACGGCTCGTAAGCTATAAAGTTACATATACATAAGCTATAAAGTCGTAAGATATAAAGTGCTCACCACAGAGATGGGACCTCACAAAATTAGTGTCATTCTCGAAACATGAGCAGACCTTCCTATTGTATTATAATATGATAGCTATTTATATATACATATAGAATCGTTGAGCAAGTTTCAGCTGCAAAGCAGCGCGATCCGGCGTAAAGGGTTCGCACATTAAGACAATTTAGACTCAGACCTCATGTCTCAAGGTCGACTGGTGGTTTTTTACTGGTGGTAGGACCTCTTGTGAGTCCGCGCGGGTGGGTACCACCACCCTGCCTATTTCTGCCGTGAAGCAGTAATGCGTTTCGGTTTGAAGGGTCGGGCAGCCGTTGTAACTATACTTGAGACCTTAGAACTTGTATCTCAAGGTGGGTGGCGCATTTACGTTGTAGATGTCTATGGGCTCCAGTAACCACTTAACACCAGATGGGCTGTGAGCTCGTCCACCCACCTAAGCAGAAAAAAAAAACCATGAGTTCGTTTAACCGTCTATTTAAAAGGCAAATAAAAACTTCGACTATCTACAGTATTATGGTTATCCATTTATATAACTCACAATTAACAGATTAGTCGGTACCTATATGTTGGAATTTCATTTAGATACCAAGTCTACACGTAGTAATGATATGAATTAATATTCTATCTAGGATATGCGTAAACAATTACCGTTGATTCAAATATTGATGTCAATAGACAATCGGACGAGCATTAAAAAGAACAAATTTCAATTTCAAGATTACCTTACATGTAATTAAACCGTAAAAGTAGCATCAATAATGTTTACAATTCACGAAAACTGAAGAAAATAATAAGAAAAAGAGCCTTACATCCATGCATTTTGGCTATACGCATGCATGTTATATACAAGTTTTGAAAGTTTACGTAATGAAAGTCCGTAAAGAATGATTAAGTAAACTACTAAAAGTACTAAAATTTAGAACGAGCGCCATCTGTGATTCGGGAACAAAACTAAAACTTCCCGTGACAGCTACTTGATATGCTATGACGGCTTAAAGTTTTTAATGTGAGTGCTACCACTCCTTTTGAGATATGGAGTCAAGGTCTCTGTTATATTGGAAGTTCTACGCTTTAAACCGACACCCGTTAAACTGTTTCGTGGCAGAAATAGACAGAATGGTGCTAACTATCCACGTGGGCTCAGAAGACGTCCCACCACCAGTTTTTAAGATGTCATCAGACTTCTTGCAGTTACAGCTTTAACACACGTTAATTGTTTTAAGTTTTCGGGCTTATGTAAATTATAAACACACTATTATTTACAATTTTTAAGTAATAAGCACCCGATATTTCGACTGATTCAAGCTTCATGATTGGTGTCCTGTATAATCCCATCATCGATAGTAATCGATACCCATTTGATCGACACAAATACAGGTTTAGATTATAGAGCGGGTCAAAGAATGAATATATAATACTCGTACATACCTATACATAGCGGAGACATGAAAAGCCGCAATAGCAAAAATATTGATGCCATTGTAATGTGGGTGTGATGGAGGATGCTACGAATACCACGGACTGCTATGAGGACTAAAAGTACATTTTAATGGAGCTAAACATCCGAAAAAGGCTCTCCGCCATCTGCTGGGTTATGAGCTTCTTCGGACACATCATGCGGTGTCCCAGACATGAATTAGAGAAGCTCATAATTTTGGGTTGCATAGAGGGCAGAACACCAGCTAGAAGGTCAGATCTGGTTAAGGAAGCAGTTTGTGGTAGTCTGTTGTACCATGCGGTCCATGGTACCCATGATCGAACACTTTGGAGGAAAGTCACATGTAGTCACGATCCTCAGCAGTAAGGGAACGATGAAGAAGAAGACATGCTTATAGGTATAGGGCTCGAAAACATTACCTTTCTCATGCAGTCGGGTAAAACCAATATAATGGTAGGCAGTGGCTTGGCTCTGCCCCTGGCATTGCTGACGTCCATGAGCGACGGTGACCATTTACCGTCAGGTTGGCCGTGTGCTCATCTGCCTACAAAGGCAATAAAAAAAATAAAAAAAAATGGTTTCATTTTATTTGACCATGAAACCTTAAGACAGTCAGCTCCTTAAACACGTGTACCGTAAATTCGCAAGTCATAAACAACTAATTAATTTTTTATTGTACTCATTCGATGAAATCTGTCTATGTATAAACTATTTAGCGGTTTGCTTTCAAAAGTATCAAATTTTCCCAATGTTCAAATCGAAACGCATGACTAATTCGCGGCGGAAATAGGTAGGACTTTGAAACCAACTCGTGATATAATACGCCCAGCAGAATTTACATACGTTTTAGTTAAAAAAATATCTATTGAGATATTTAAAACGTTTCCCAGCCGGCCTAAATGTAATCAAACCCGCGCAAGACATTGTCCATCGGAAATTGCGGATATTGCGGATATTGCGGATATGACACACTCTACGGCCCAGCGGAGATAACGCAGACTTGGAGGCACCTGGGTAGTTGTTAACAAACCCCCTCTGGCTGAGCCCTTGCTAGCCCACCTGTCCTGGTGAAACTGGAAAGGCCTCCGGACCACCAGTAATCCTTCAATCATAAAAAGACAACGCAGCACCGATCGCTTTTGAGTGACAACCGCGTCGCAGGAGACGAACTGGTCGCCCTGTGCGCTTTTGGCGACGCACCATGCAGAACGAAATGAGGACTGCCGGCTTAACCTGGAGTAATATTACAGGGTAAAGTGGAGACAACTTGTGGGCCCTATGTACTAGCGGCGTACCCTAGGATTACAAAATCCCAACCTGGTGCTTAGTAGTTCTTCAATTACAGAATTAAGAATTACTTTGGTATAATATAAAAACAGTTTTTTCTTAATTACATTAACTTCCTTTGTTACCTTGTTTAAGTTAATGTTTCTGTATCTAAAGCGTCTAAAAATAGACTTCGAAGTTCTCGTTAAAATACCAGCTCATATCTGAGTCACTTCGTAGGTTTATGTTCTTTTGTCACGTTTTTTTCCATTCACTTGTGTAGAACAGAGCGGTGAGCAATTGATAAAAAGAATGGCTCCACTTCTATGTCTTTTATTCTTATTATCGAGAAGAAGAAAGAAGGGGATTTTTCTTGGTTATTTAGTACATTAACTCTTACTGTTAGGAGTGTACACAGTCTTCCATATACTCAATTAAAACCTATACTTCAATGTTGTTGTATATACATAGCAGTTACAATAGTTGAGTCACATATCAATAGTTCATTTATATGTATATCATTTATATGCATATACGTTTGGTACTAGATGTGCTAATTACGACCCGCGCCAATAAAGTGTACTTCGCAACGTCGCAACTGACACTTTTAAATGTTTCGCTTTCACTGTTTTACAAATTATTTTATAAATAAAAATACCAAATGCAGGGCTGAGATGGTATGGTCACGTAAAAAGGAGGCCACCTGACTACCCAGGAAATTTGGCACTGCTGCTCGACCTCCCCAATCGGAGACCAAGTCAAAGTGGAAAGTAGTGCTGAAGGACAAGAGGGAATGCAATCTCACTGACGAGGATGTCGAAGACAGAACTAACTGGAGGAATAGAATGAGGAAATATGCCCCACAACAATGTGGGATAAATACTTAGGAAGAGAGAGATATGCTGTCAAAGCTATCAAAATAGAACGCACGTAATTCTAATAGTGGAGAGAATGTGGGCTTTGCAACGGCTGGAATTTTCGTCCCTACGTGACCACGAAGAGTGTTAGAGCGCCTCTTACCTCGCTTCAACAGGACGTGCAGACTGGCAACTCTAGTAGACTTTTGGTCTGTGTAACCATCCTCAAACAACTCACTTACGTGATGGTGTTGATGACAAGTAATTAAAAATGGCTAATGGTGTGGTAATAATAAAGTTAGTTCAAGATTCAGACAATGGATTGCGTGATCTGGTTTTTTAATGGAATGTTAATTATTATGTAGTATGTAGCAAACATAGAGTCGTATTGAGTAGTATAATGAAATTCTATTATAAAATCAAGCTGGTAAGGCAACGATGTCTTTATCTATTCATAAATAAGATTTACTTTCACGGTACGGCATAGAACGGAGAATAGTTTTAGCGCACTTGTACGATATCTGGGCAAAAGGTTTTACCCCCTAAGAGCTTTGACATTTATATTTAAGAATCAAATTACTTTTTTAATTATTTTAGTTGGGTAGACAAGTTCACGGTTCGAAAAGGGTATCGGAGTTCTTAGATATAGCTTGGTGATTTACGCCATCCATCTTTAGATATAAGGTTGAATTCGTGTTGCAACGTTTTTGACCTCTAGATCAAACGGGACAAATGATAACAGTGTTTTTTTTATATATTTTTTATTGCTTTGGAGGCTGGACGAGCTCACAGCCCACCTAGTGTAAAGTGGTTACTGGAGCCAATAGACATCTACGACGTAAATGCGCCACCCACCTTGAGATATAAGTTCTAAGGTCTCAGTATAGTTACGACGGCTGCCCCACCTTTCAAACCGAAACACATTACTGCTTCACGGCAGAAATGGGTGGTGGTACCTACCCGTGCGGACTCACAAGAGGTTCTACCACCAGTAAAAGTTACAGTATTTGGTCAGTATTCAATGATTAAGACTGATTTTACGACCTAATGTCGTACACTATTTTATTCGTCTTCGTATTTCCAACGTTTCAAATATTTTACAGTTCACAGTGGTCCGTGCGAAATTAAACTGTAAAAGGAGTTTTAAACATGACAGTAATTAAATAGAAATAAGCCCGATTTGCTAGTCCATTGATTTTAATTAGCGCGCAACTACAAAGAAATTTCGAATAGGAACAGATTCTACCGCTATGTATAAGCACTGAAATTCTTTACTATAAAACGAAATGCTATTTCATAGACGGCCGTCCGGTGTAGTGGTCATTGACATGGTCACTACACAAGGGGGTCGCGGGTTCGAATCCCGCCAAGGGAGGATATTTGTATGATAAATATAAAAATGTCTTTTCCAGGGTTATGGATGTACATTAAATATATTTATGTGTATAATAAAAATATTACATTTATTTCCGTTATCTGGTACCTGTAACACAAGTTCTTTACGAACTTACCACGGGACCAGTTAACGTGGCGTGATTGTTATTAAATATTTATTTATAAAAAAAGAGAAAAAAAAAAAATAAATAAAAAATGCTTAATTAATGTATATATTTCATTATAATTTTAGATCGGGCACATTACATACATTATGTGGTCTATAAATACGTTTTTACAGATTCTTTCAAAACACAAACAAAATCTTTTCTAATTATAAATAAAAAAAATGTTTCAGATAAAGCGATGGTAGAACCAGTGGCCGCTGATAAGCCAAAGGATGAAGGATCCCCGAATGTAATAGAAAATGAACCAGATATAGCTGATATAAATCAGGAAAACCAAACAGCGGGTGAAAATGTTGAAACGAAGGAGAATTATAAGAAGAATCTGCGCATATCAAGCAGCAATGGACTGGAGTTAATGGAAGACAAGGAGGCACCAATAGGAGAAGGAAAAGGAGACGTGTTGCTGACAGATTCGAAGACTGTGATACGTTTTTCGCCCATCTGGAAACAGGTAAACATTATTTTTGTCGTAAACGTAGTAGAAGAGAGAAAGTAGAAGAATGAAATAATAAAATTGCTTTAATTCAGTCAGTTGAAAATTGGTGTCGCAATATAGAAATGTGGTTATTCCATATTACGGCCAAAAGCATGACTGTTCTGCAGCCCAAACATACACGTGTGTGTGTGTTTAAATTTAGCGATACATTAGATTAAGGACTATTAAATTATTAAACTACCCATGGCTAATCCTCATAGTCATCGTCCGAAATGTTTATTTTCCCCTACTTCGGTTATAAATAACATAACACAATGATGCCTTAAACTATAGAGGATAATGATATCTGTACCTCACAATCTAAATATGGCAAACATGAAAGTTATCCGAAATGCGCTTTACAAAAGTAACGAAAATATTGTTACGCCGGTAAGAGTAACGCCATTTATCGCCAAATAGCCGAACGAATGCCGAAGCCATCTATTGTCAGGTAGCAGAAACACACACATCAAAGCTACTCGACTTGCCCAGAATCTACTCGATAAATCGAAAGATGTCGTATCGATTATAAAGCCGTTGCAGAGATGGCACGCAGTTAGTCAGTAATCGGAACTACCCGAAGCGAAACAGCGATCGGATCACCTGGAGCGAAGTGGAAGAATTGAATTGAGAATTTTAAAGTGTTCGATAAGTGTTCTAAGTGTTGAATACAGCTTCAATTTATACTTCGGTAGAACTTTTATTTATCCCGAACCCCAGCGCGTAACAATGTACTTAAAACTCTCTATATTTCCAAAAATAAAAATGTTAAAAGACTCCTCGTTGAACTGCTATTGAAACGTTTCCAGGGCTTAGCCGCATCGGCACCGATTCTGTTAACTTTCGCTGCGGGTTTGACATCCGGCTTCTCGGCCATTTTGCTACCACAGTTGGAGATCGAAGCTGGACCCATTCCGGCAGATGAAGAAACAACGTCATGGATAGGTTAGTGATACTTGTGTTCTCTAAAATTTGTAACACTATATTAAGGTTACTGTTAGCATTTTCATATAAAATTATTACAGCAGTTCTTTCTTCTGCTGTATTTATAAATGAAAATAAGAGTTATGTCCTTATTGTTTTGACTATATTTAATAATTAATATTTCAGCCTCAATGGCTGCACTTCCAATGGCTCCCGGCTGCCTTATATCTGGATGGATGTTTGAAAGATTTGGAAGAAAGAAATCTCAATTCATCGTTTGTGCGCCTTTGTTGCTGGGATGGATCCTCACGGCAGTAGCAAATAACCTGACCCTTATGTTATGTGGTAGATTTTTCACAGGACTATGCGTAGGATTGATAGGCCCTTTGGGACCAGTGTATATAGGTGAAACTTCAGAACCGAAATATCGAGGTTTCTTCCTCGCTGCGATTTCGCTAGCGATAGCATTAGGCATAATTTTCGCGCATATTCTCGGCACATTTATATCATGGCAGTGGACTGCGGTCATCTGTGCCCTGTTTCCAATATTAAATATAGTCTTACTAATTTTTGTACCAGAAAGTCCCACTTGGTTAATATCAAAAAGTCGCATTGAGGAGGGTTCCAAGGTTTATTACTGGTTAAGAGGATATAGTGATGAAGCGAAAGATGAATTGAAAGGTATAATTGATTGTAGATTAGCAAGGGATGCTGCCCCAGTAGAAACTTGGAAAGACAAAGTGCTTTATTTTAAAAGCCCGGAACTAATTAAGCCATTGATAATCATGATAATATTCTTTGCCACATGTCAATTCGCCGGTACAAATGCTTTTGCATTTTATTCTATAGGTATTATTCAAAAAGCTGTAGATAAAAGTATAGATCAATATGTCGCAATGTTCGTAATGGATTTGTTGAGACTGATAGCTTCTGTAGTAGCCTGTGTTATATGCAAACAGTATGGTCGAAGACCTTTATGTTTCATCAGTGGGGGCTTAACAACAATCTCAATGGTAGGACTATCAATGTTTTTATATTTAAAACCCGAAAATATGGCTTGGATACCTCTCTCATGTTTAATGCTCTACATTTGTGCCATTTCAATTGGCTTAGTTCCACTGCCGTGGATGATGTGTGGTGAGATCTTTCCGACTAAAGTTCGAGGATTAGGATCTGGGATTAGTTCGGCTATGGCGTTTGTGTGTTTCTTTATAGTAGTTAAAACTGCACCGGGTATGATGACGTATTTAGGCGAAGTTTTCACTTTCTCGTTTTATGGGACAGTCGCATTCTTTGGAACAATAATATTATTCTTTGCGCTACCAGAGACTAAAGGAAAGAGCCTACAGGAGATAGAAGAAACATTTAAAAGTAAGAAGAGTAATGACTCAAAAGTATAATATTTCTCAATGTTTTAAACGAAAGATAATATTTTGTGCTAGTAAGTCGGATTGAAGACGACACGTGCACAGAAATATGTTAGATTTTGATGACAAAAGACGGAGGTTCTGGATACAAGAATGCAAGAAACTAAAAATAAGCCAACGACGAATAAAATTTACGGTTATGTTAATGACATTTTCTCATGTACCAGCTGTTTTGGAACATTTTACAAGTTAGGTAATCAGTAATCGCGCAAGTTGTTTTTGCCGAAACTGGCATGAAATCGACATCCAGTGAATTCAATTTGAATCCATAAAATCCTTATTAGTTGTTATTATTTTTGTATTTTTATACTATTAGTATTGAATAAGTATTCGCTCAAAGTGATAGTTAGTTCTAAGTCTGTGATGTTTCTGTATATAATATTAAATATTTTAAAATGTTGCTTGGTTTTTCTTTTTGGAGAAAAGTTTTGTTTGTTAAGTATATAAGTATAGATTAAGTTGAAGTGTGACAGATCATAGCTCATGATGAACTGGGTGTTTGGCGGTCACTCAACACGCAGACTCAACTTGAATGTATCTGCTCACTATGAGATATGCAACTGAAGTCTCATTTGTACGATTACTTTAATATTACCGAAAAATAAACATTACTAAGTAATATAGTGACGAATCAGTCGAGCGCCTTGTGGTGCAAGGCATGATTGAGGGTACAAAACCGCGCGGCAGATCACCGTTATGGGAGCGACTAAATAAAGACAGCTCCAAAAGGTGAATCGATAAGAGGAGCAGGCCAAGGTAATGAGAAGTAGACGTATCTGCCAACCCGTCGCTGGCTTCTTGCACGCGGCAGAATGCAAGAAACGTGACTGGTGGACGACGCGCAATGGCGACGGTCGGCCTGACGACTTAAAAGCTCTCCTCTAAATTATTTGTGTTCGCTAAACCGGTATAACACTCGCACAATGACGAGAATGATCATCCGTAGGAGTTTGTAAGAGAAAAAGTCCCAAGTAGTAAAAGTCCAAAAAAATATTAAGATGAAATGGATGGCCTATATACACGTGATTATATACACGTGTATATAATCAAAGGATACAACGGTGTTCGAATCACGCAGGCAAGTACCAATTTTACTAATTAAATACGTATTTAACGTAGCAGCAGTGATGCGTTTCGGTTTGAAGGGCGGAGCAGCCATTTTATTGTAAAAACTGGGACCTATTTAAAGTGCCCAAGATAGGCGGTGTATTTACGTTATTGATATCGATGGACTCCATTGGCCTTAACACTATGTGGATCATTCAACCCTCTTAGCGATAGATAATAATAAAAAATGTATTTCCGCACGCAGAGTGGCGCAATATATTCAAAAATTATAATTTTTTCTAAGTAAAAATGTACCTAATTTACTAAAAAAGTAGTTGACTGTCTTTTTGGATTGAAATATTTCTCAATTGCTTGCTGAGTGAAATTTCTTATATGGTCTCCCACTATACGAGGAGGTACGTTGCGAACTAAATTCCTAGGTTTCCCATTACGTTCCGAATAAGTTCGTTGTCCATTATATAGTCTTTAGAGTATTTTCATGTAATAGCTGATTCTGTTTAGGGGACTTTTTTTTATTGCTTAGATGGGTGGACGAGCTCACAGCCCATTTGGTGTTAAGTGGTTACTGGAGCCCATAGACATCCACATCGTAAATGCGCCACCCACCTTGAGATATAAGTTCTAAGGTCTCAAGTATAGTTACATCGGCTGCCCCACCCTTCAAACCGAAACGCATTACTGCTTCACGGCAGAAATAGGCAGGGCGGTGGTACCTACCCGCGCGAACTCACAATAGGTGTACCCACCACCAGTAACTTAACGGAGAGACTCGGTGGCAAATGTCCGAAAACTGATGAGATAAGCTTTGAGTCGATCTAGGAGAGTCAGTGGCCATTTACTGGTGATGGGATCTCTTGTGAGTCCGCATGGGTGGATACCATCGCCCGTTTATTTCTGCCGTAAAGTAGTAATGAATTTCAATTTGAAGGGTGAAGCTACCGTTGCACTGTAAAAATTGAGACCTTAGAACTCATATCTCCAGGTAGGTGGCGGAAATGTCGGAAAACGAATAAGATAAGTTTCACAATTCAGTTTTGTGTTCCAATTACCAGACGGCAATAATGTGATTTCGATCTGTGATTATACCTATTATCATATCGAAGTCAGTGTCGTGATTGTGTTAATAAGTGATAAGAGAGTCAAATCTATTTAATCATCAATCAATTAATGAGTAATGTGGCTTTACTGAATTGCAATTAATTAAATCCATTGCACCCATTCTATGTAGGGATTTTATTTATCTTTTTAAAGTTGCTCAGGCACCATTTAAAAATTGAGTTGAAGCGTCGGGTTCGGACTCTTTATCGAACCTGAAGGATTTTTGTACATATAATATGGATATGGACTATTTCGGAATGAATCTATACTAATATTATAAAGAGGAACGATTTGTTTGTTTGTTTGTATTGAATAGGCTCCGAAACTGCTGAACCGATTTGAAAAATTATTTCACTGGTTGGAAGCCACACTACTCCCGAATGACATAGGCTATCTTTTTTGAAAAAGAAATAGGGATCCTTACTGAAACTCCAATAATGTAACCCGAGGTGTAAAAAAATTACCTAAAATATTCTTTACATTGCGCGCCCTGCGAAAACGATTGATGATAGATTAAAATAATGCACGACTTTTAAATAATAAAAGATTAAATTGTGTTTTCTGTGATATAATATGAAAAAAACATATAAGCCTATTTAATCTTTTTTTAAATTAATATTGAAAATTAAACAGTAAACAGTATTAGTGAACTGTACAAAACTAAACTCTCTTTTTAATACGCTTTTATTAGCTTCAGACGTATGTATGTTTGTAACGGAATCTTTGAACCTGGTTTTGACCCCTTTCAAAACGTCAAATTAACTCGAAATTTGGTATACTTATTAAAACCGATGACAATTCAATATTTAAAAAAATATATGTAATTGAAAAAAATTGAAATTCAACTAAAAAATGAAAAATAAATAATAGTTTAAAAAAACTTACAAAATACACTTTTATGGAAAATCCAATTAAAAAGTAAAAAATATTTTTTTATAAATTCGCAACAATCACAATAAAATCATTTTTTCTCACACTATTTTTAATTTAAATTAATTTTTAATTTAAAAGCGTATTTTGTAAGGTTTTTAAACTATTATTAATTTACTAAATGACAGATTTCACTTCATGACACTGAAGAAAAATCCTTTTCAAAACCTAAAGAGTTTTAAACAATAAAGGTTTTTCTTTACATACATACATACACATACATAGATAATGTATTTGATTGTATGGATGTGTAAACGAACGGATCTCATAGACATAGGCCGTTCTACCATATTATGTGTTTTGGAGTCGACCTCTGATCAAAGGAAAGGGTAAGGAAAATATTGATATAGACTAAAGATAGCCATTGCGCTAGCTTATCTAGTAGTTGAGGATTTTAGCTATGGATGGACTAAATTAATATATATTCACCCAACACTATCGGAGTTATTATTTTTGTTAACACATAAAATATTGTTTTCGAGGTACCGGATCTGGACTGAATCTTATTTTTTTTCAGTGCTTGGTAATGCAGAAAAAACCCTTTAGTGACTTTTTGCCACACTTCCCACAAAATACTTATTATATAAGCATGGGGATGGGTCAAAAAGCTTTCTTTAATTGTACAATATATTACAATCCTTCATAAAAGCATGAAAGGTAAACATTTATCGATGTCAGTATGTATGCGTGCTCTTGTACAAATCGCAGTGTTAAAGTTATATAAAATTTTATCGATATTCATTTGCACGTCTTGGGTCTACGTCGCGGACGCGTTTACAAAAAAAGTATATAGAATAAGTTTAATGTGTGCAATTCAAAGAATTCGGTCGTCATAATTATTTTGATTATATTATATACGATTACATTTCAAAATACTATTTAAGTGAGAACCGTTACGCCGACCAGGTATAGTTATTTTTACTTTTATTGTTTAGTCGGTACTACTGTCGAATGCTTATAGCTGTTTTTAGATTATATATAATATATGTTTTTAATATAATATTGCGTAACTTTTTGAAAATTAAATTAAATTACCGCTTCAAGTTAGTGTTTTCTTGATTTAGCTTTGTAATTGAGTATTGGATTGAAATTATTATTTACGAATTGTTCAATATTATCTTATAAAGGTATACCACGATTTTTAGATATAATTAATTTCCGATATTTATTTAATAAGCACTACTTAAGCGGCTCATGGGTAAACATGAAGTCGTCGTGGCCTAACGGATAAGACGTCCGGTGCATTCGTGTTGAGCGATGCACCGGTGTTCGAATCCCGCAGGCGGGTACCAATTTTTCTAATGAAATACGTACTCAACAGATGTTCACGATTGATTTCCACGGTGAAGGAATAACATCGTGTAATAAAAATGAAACCCGCAAAATTATAATTTGCGTAATTACTGGTGGTAGGACTTCTTGTGAGTCCGCACGGGTAGGTACCACCACCTCTGCCTATTTCTGCCGTGAAGCAGTAATGCGTTTCGGTTTGAAGGGCGGGGCAGCCGTTGTAACTATAATTGAGACCTTAGAACTTATATCTCAAGATGGGTGGCGCATTTACGTTGTAGATGTCTATGGGCTCCAGTAACCACTTAACACCAGGTGGGCTGTGAGCTCGTCCACTCATCTAAGCAATAAAAAAAAAAAAAAAAACTGAAATATGCGATTAGGATCATTAGGATGATAGGAGTAAGGCGAATCTGTGTGCTTAGTGCAAGTTTTTTAACGTTCTCGATAGCGTAAAAGTTAACTCATATTTGTATGGAATGGGATCGTTTACTTACGTTTGCCACTAGGGGCGCTGTTCCAACTGCATACAAATTTGGGCTAACTTTTACGCTATCGAGAACGTTAAAAAACTCGTACTAAGCATACTGTTTACGCTTGGTTAACGGCCGTTTTCAAGAACCCATCTATCCGTAGTTTCGGTTACTAAAGATGGACAAATCTATCCTTTTGTCCTTCGGTTCATTAACCTATCGACGGATAGCAATTCCTATCGGATCTATCCATCCATCGTCGGGAGGACGGATAGCCTACTAAAGATAGAACGCTCATACAAATCGTGCTTACTCCCGTTTCAATATGAGTTTTAAGTAACTCTCCGATAGGCGACGCTATCTCTAGTAAGGGCATTCGCTTATCTGTCAAAATCGACCGATTACATGTTTACCTTTTGAAAGTAAATAGCTATATTTTAATTAGAGTTTCTCTTCATAATGGCATATTGTAACAGAAGTGATACGGCATTATTTCAAAATGATGATGGATTGTCATGCAGATAATTATAGTGAAGCTGATATAAGCCGAAAAAACGTCTGAATTGCCTTTCTTGACTGAAAAATGTATCTTTCAAAACTCGAACTCAAAGTTAAAAAAAAAATTATCAATGTAGTTCATAGATACAGAGAGAATTCATTTTATTTCACTGTAGCTCTTTAATTATACACACATTTAGAATTATAAAGTTTATAAACGAAAGTTTTAAAGCATTTGGAAGCAATTCACTATCGAGTAAGCAATAGAAAAACATACAAAAGAAACCGACTACTGCTCATTGGCAAAGTGCCAGTCAAAGTGTTTCGTTTCATAATTTCGACTAGAATAAAAATAACAATTTGTCCAATTTAAAAAATATAAACATATTTTTATTACTTTTTATTATAAACAAATGAATTTAAGATGGTTTACGATGTCATGATTAAATTACAGTTGTAATCTATAACTATATATTAAAATGAATTGCTGTTCGTTAGTCTCGCTAAATCTGCTGGAGCGATTCGGCTAATTTTGGTCTTGAATTATTTGTTGAAGTCCAGAGAAGGTTTAAAAGGTAGATAAATATGAAAATGCTTGGAATTAAATAAAGTTTAGGTCTTTTATTAATCGATTGAGGCACTACGAAGTCTGCCGGGTCAGCTAGTTTAGAATAAAATGAAATAAGTCTTGGACCTGATGTTGTTTCATCTTTGCAGTAGAACGAAACGTATCAAGAGGCTTGGATAGATCAGAGGGAAGAAGCTACTGTTAGTTAAAGATAGATAGCACTTATCCGTGATTGTGAAACGCAAACTAAAGATAGATACGCTCTTAACGATAATCAGAGATAGCTATCTATCCGTAATGTCAGATAGGTTATTGAAAACGGCCCTAAGTCCGTTTCTGGGTGTTACCACTGGAACTCGATGATTTCTCTCGACCGATAACTCGAACCAGTGTACGTTTTTTTATAATTTTTTTTATTGCCCTTGTAGGCAGACGAACATATGGCCCACCTGATGGTGAGTGGTTACCGACGCCCATGGACTTCAGCCATACCAGGGGCAGAGCCAAGCCAGTGCCCACCGCTCAGAAAAAGTCGTCGTAAGATTTCATAAAATTGTATTTACTTTTTGTCTTTTTTTTCTATTGTTAGATGTTCTATTGTTTAGATGTTACTAGAACCCAAAGACCACATAACGTGAATGCAGCTCTAATGAGACGAGTTCAAAGTCATAATTGAATGAATGGCTCGCCGAACTCTTCAAGCACGTGACTGCTTCGTGGCAGGGTGGTGGTATCTACCTGTTTTAGGTTACAGTACATCATCATCATCATCATCATCATCAACAGCCTACAGTCGTCCACTGCTGAACATAGGCCTCTCCTAATCCACACCACTGAGCCCGGTTTGCGGCTCTCCTCATCCACTTCTTGCCGGCCACCGTGCGGAGGTCATCGCACCACCTAGCCAAGGGGCTTCCCACGTTACGTCTTCCGCTGCGCGGTCTCCACTCGAGAACCCGTCTGCTCCAGCGATCGTCAGTCCTACGGCATATATGGCTAGCCCACTGCCACTTCAGCTTGCTGACTCTTTGAGCTATGTCGATGATTTTAGTTCTCTGTCGAATAATCTCATTCCGGATTTTATCCTTCAGAGAAACTCCGAGCATGACTCTTTCCATGGCTCGCTGAGCGACTTTGAGCTGACGGACCAACCGTACTGTGAGTGTACACGTTTCGGCTCCGTAAGTCATTATCGGTAGGACGCACTGGTTAAAAACTTTCGTTTTCAGGCACTGTGGGATGTGCGATGAAAAGACTCCACGCAGTTTGCCGAACGCCGCCCAGCCCAGTACATCATACCACCAATAAACACGTAGAATATAATATTAGCAAGTTCAATTTGTGTTACACAATGTTATTTCTTTATCATGAACATTATTCATTAGCATGTGTTAAGTAGTTATTTTTTTTAACATTTTTACCTGCTTCCGGTCATTGAACTTCAACGATGCCATTTTATAGCACTAGGTACATCGAGCGTGCTTCAATTGATTCTAACAAAGATACCGACTCCGTGATCCAAATGTGGTTACTGAATGTCGTCACGATGTGTCTATTAAAGAAAACCATAATATTAAGAATATACAATTCTAATTGTATCGAATTCGCAATGACTTGATTATAAAAGAAACTATTTCAGATAAAACGATGGTAAACGTAGTGGATGCCGATAAATCACAGGTAGAAACCAAGGGACCAATAGAAAATGAACCACAAATACTTATTGTCAAAGATGAAAATCAAATATATAAGAGGAATCTAAATGTATCTAGTAACACTGTATGGGGATTGACAGGAGGAAATGGAGTATCGAAAGGAGTTGACTTACTGTCAGATTCGAAGACTGTGCCTCGGTTTTCGCCGATTTGGAAACAGGTAGCTTCTTTTTAATTGCTTTGATCCATGAAGGATCTCATGGCCCGTCTGTAGTTTGGCGGTTATGTCTGTGGTAATACAGCAAAGTAAATGGTGCCAGCCCAACTTTTTTTTTTTTTTATTGCCCTTGTAGGCAGATACGGCCAACCTGATGGTGAGTGGTTACCGTCGCCCATGGACTTCAGCAATGCCAGGGGCAGAGCCAAGCCGCTGCCTACAAACCTGCCTGCCACCTTGGAGAAAGAGGTCAATTGTGGTATAACGGTTGACGCACCCTTCAAACTGGAATACGTTACTACTACACGTAAGAAATGTCACTACATAAATATAATACTTAATAATCTATACTAATAAAGAGGAAAGGTATAGGCTATCTATAATCTTTTTTGAAAAAATTTTAGGGATCTTTACTAAGATTCCAATAATATTACCCAGGTGAAAAAAAATTACCTTAAATATTCTTTAAATCGCGTGCCCTGCGAAAACTACTGATGATAGAATAAAAGAATGTACTACGACTTTGTAGAACACATTATTATTTATAAAAAGTGTTGCGACAGCATATGTCTGAAAGACTCAAATATTATACATTTCTTAATAATAAAATTTCAGTGTAAATCAGTGATTCTGTGTGTGAACAGTTCGCTCAGGCACAGTGAAATTGGTAATATTGGATCTGGACAAACCTTTGCCACCCTGTGAATCGTAGGGAATATTCACAAAAAAGGCAGTTTTAGGCAAAACGGATAATGTAATAATAGTTTACGTTTCATTGACTCTTATTATGTTAATTTTCGTTAATAGTAGTAAACGGAAGCTCTACTGTTTCAACAGTTCTCGAATATTCTTCGTCTCCCATTTTTGGGTAGAGCAATGATACATTTGTTAAGTGAAAATTTCATTTTATGTTTGGGCAATGACGGTTACCATTTGCTTAAGAACTGCTAAACGCCAAATTATGTGTCAGTTCGTTACCGACCGTTCGTTACCGTTCGACCTAGAATAATGCAAAATGGGTTCATTTTTCTTTTCTTATTGCATCATGGACGAATCGAAATATTTAGGATGAAAGCAATCCGATTGTAGTCGGCTTGTATATCGTGGAGACGACAACTTTAAGCTTTAAAAGCTTTAAATCTTAAAGTTCAAAGATTAAGCTTATAATATAAACTAGTATTTTTTTATAATGTGATTGGAATTAAAAAAGAAATATATTCTGTTTCCAGAGCTTGGCAGCCTCAGCACCAATTTTATTAGGTTTTGCTGCGGGTTCGACATTCGGTTTCTCAGCGATCTTACTGCCACAGTTGAAGGAACAAGCTGGACCTATTCCAGCAGATGAAGAAACAGCGTCATGGATAGGTTTGTAATATTTGTTTTGTTGTATACTGAGAACATTGTCGCTAACGGGCTTATATTTTATTTCAACAGTTCTTTGTCTCTTGACTCGAGTCAATTATCGATAATTGACTAGCTCTTTAAATGACGAGGTGTCACCATTGTGGACACGACCTGGACACGGCGGAGCATATGCTCGCTGTCTGCCCCGCTTGGGAGGTGCAGCGCCGTGTCCTGGTCGCAAAGATAGGACCTGACTTGTCGCTGCCTGGCGTCGTGGCGTCGATGCTTGGCGGTGATGAGTCATGGAAGGCTATGCTCGACTTCTGCGAGTGCACCATCTCGCAGAAGGAGGCGGCGGGGCGAGTGAGGCAAAGCTCTCCTCACTACGCAGAAACCCGCCGCCGCCGAGCAGGAGGTCGGGACCGGGGTCGTATCCGTGACCTGGCCCCCTAATAGCTAGGGGTCCCACCCGTTTTGTGCGGGGAGAGACCCAGACGTGGGGTGGCGTGCTTTGCACGCTCACCCGCAGTAGGAAGCCGGGTGATGGTAGACCGCGTTCCCCCGACCGCTCTGGGGGAAGGTGTAACGCGGCGCCATCAAAGTGGGCTCTCGGCCCGCTGAACGAGGGAACCGGTGGTCGTGTCGCTGGCGGCCGCCGGTCCGGCGTCCGTGGGACGGTGGGATGGATGTAATGTGCTCTGCGTCAACCCTGTCCCGCCGTTTCAATAGCCCCGACTGGGCTCCGGCCCGGTCAGAGGTAGGGCGCCGGTTGTGAGCGGCAGGAGTTTTTAGTGAGGTTCAACTCCCACATACCCCACCTGCCGCGCGGGTGGGGATCCGGCGATTTTCTCCTGTGGAAAAAAAAAAAAAGCTCTTTAAATGGATTTTTAGTGGTCGAAACTATAATAATATCTAAATGTATATTTCAGCTTCAATCGCAACCCTACCGGTGGCTCCTGCCTGTCTTATATCTGGATGGATATTTGAAAGATTTGGAAGAAGACCAGCTCTATTCATCACATGTGCCCCGTTTCTACTTGGATGGGCTCTCATAATAAAAGCAAACAACCTCACCCTCATGCTGTGCGGGAGATTTTTCACAGGGATGTGCACAGGATTAATAGGTCCTTTGGCATCGGTCTACATAGGAGAAACTACGGAACCGAAGTATAGAGGTCTCTTCCTCGCTGCTATTTCATTAGCAATGGCATCAGGAATGTTTTTCTCGCATATTATCGGCACATTTATATCATGGCAGTGGACTGCGGTCATCTGCGCTCTATTGCCAATATTAAGTCTAGTTTTACTTGTTTTTGTACCAGAATCTCCCACTTGGTTAATATCAAGAGGTCACATTGAGGAGGGTGCCAAGGTTTATTACTGGTTAAGAGGGTATAGTGATGAAGCCAAAGACGAATTGAAAGATATAATCGATCGTAAATTAGCAAACGATGATGCCCCAGTAGAAACTTGGAAAGACAAAATTCGTTAATATAAATGCCCGGAATTTATAAAGCCGTTAGTGATTATGATATTCTTTTTCTCAATGTCCCAATTTGCCGGCGCAAATGCAGTTGCTTTTTATTCTGTAGAAATTATCAAAAAGGCTTTAGGAAAAGATATTGATCAATATATGGCGATGCTCCTAATAGATTTTCTGAGATTGTTAGCGTCAGTAGCAGCCTGTATCATATGCAAGCAGTACGGGCGAAGACCTGTATGTTTTGTTAGCGGAGGCTTGACAGCAATTTCAATGGCAGGACTATCAATATTTTTGTATCTAAAACCAGAAAATATGGCTTGGATACCCCTATCATGTTTCATGCTCTACATTTGTGCGATTTCAATTGGTCTAGTTCCGTTGCCCTGGATGATGTGTGGGGAGATATTTCCGACTAAGGTTCGAGGCTTAGGTTCGGGAGTTAGTTCAGCTGTGGGTTTGGTCTCTGTATTTGTAGTAGTTAAAACCGCACCAGGCATGATGTCTCACTTGGGACAAGTGTTTACTTTCTCGTTTTACGGAGCGATCGCCTTTATTGGAAGCATCATATTATTCTTTGTTCTCCCTGAGACCAAAGGAAGGAGTCTACAGGAGATTGAAGACAAATTTAAAAATCAAAAGAGTAATGGCTCAAAGTTTTGAAACTTAGCACTGTTTTCGATTAAGTGTAAATAATGTGGTATCTATTTAGAATAATAAACAACTAGTCCAAATTTTTTCTAGAAATTTGCTTTGTACAAGAATACTAAATACTATACTAAATAGTATACATATACAGTAATGTTGTTGTTTTAAAAGTATTCGCTTAAAGAGATAGATAAGTTTCAAGTCTGTATGTTATATGTGTGTGCATAATACTAAACATTCAATATGTCATTTTTCGTTTTAAACATTACGTTGCGTTTCGTTATGTTACATACGTTTCAATTATTCCATTTTTGGTTCGGTGTCCGGATATCCGGGACGTGAAGTTTTTTCCCTACCTATTCGCTGGTAGCCTAAGGGGCCATTACAGCTACGCCCGGAAGGGTAGGTGAGCTCACGGGCTCAACCTGAGAGGATTTGCTAACACTAGCCCTAGCAAGAGTTAGTGCTTCGCAGGGTCTACCACCGGATCGGAATCGCGACCCACTGAAAAGATGCGGTGAGAAACTCAATGGGATGTGTTTATGGGTTAGGTCGCTCGTCGAACTCTTCGTCGCAATCGACGGGTTCAACGAGGACGGTGACCGGTGCTTGAGAGGTCTAAAAGCACCCAGAATGAATCCGGGGGACCGACAAGACATGTTTCGGACGCTGGCTCCTTTGCATCACCCCGTCGCGATCGGATAAGTAGGTAATTAGCAGCGGCCACGATAAGAGGGTTATCGTGCCGCGCTGCTTTTGCAAAGTAGCGTTACGTGCAGTGTATATGGAACTACCGAATTTACCTATTAGACGACTCTCCAGCACTCTCGCCTGACATAGAATTAGATCCCCAACGCTTAAAGAAGTCGGTCCATAGGGGATGATTGCCCTCGTCAGTCGGGAGTCATCCTCTAATCCATTCATGTACTAAGTTATTTGCTAGAGTATCATTTATGTCGTTTTTTATTGGTTATATGGGTGGACGAGCTCAAGTCACTTCTGGTGTTAAGTGGTTGTCGGAGCACATAGAAATATACAACGTAAGCGCCGCCACAAACTTAAGTCCTCTAGGATTTCAGTTCTTTCATTTTGTACAATACAATGGTTGCTCTATCCTTCCAACGGAAACAGATTATTGCTGCTTGTTTAAATACGTATGTCATTAGAAAAATTGGTACTTGCCTGCGGCATTCAAACGGCGGTGCATCACTTGATCTATTTAACTACTTTAGAATTTTTTTTTCTTAATATTATAAACTAACTATACTGAGACCCTAGAACTTATATCTCAAGGTGGGTGGCGCATTTACGTTGTAGAAGTCTATGGGCTCCCCATTTAAACAATAAAAAAAATGTTATTGTAACTATCTTAAATAAATATGTATGTTGAATATATCTTTCTAATAAACTAGAAAATACACTTTAATTTGTTTCATTTGCTTACAACGCTGTTGCATCTGGCACAACAACCGTAAAATTTATAAGTAAGTACATTTCAAATTATATTAATAAGTATAAAGGTGACTTATAACATTGATATTATTTTTTCTATTTACTGTTTATTCAGTTTACTATGACAGACGAAGTCTCTGGTCGTCTGAGAGCAATTTCTTGAGTGGAATAACATCATTGGATATTGAACAGGTACTTAAAATATAATTGACATTGTTTACACAGTTTGGTCACTAAGAATGTTTTATTTGTTTTTTTTATATGATGTCTAAATTAGCTCACGGCGCATTTAGTGTTCAGTGGCCGTCGGAGCGCATACACATACAGCACCACTAAGTGAATGCTGTCATATACCATTTACCATCTACTAGGCTGCACTAAAAGTATCGGGAATGGAATATTTCCACTGTTCCCGTCATATTAAAATCTTTTTAATTGAAAACTCCTTGGTTTTAAAAATCTAATACCATTTATTTATTTAAAAAAAGATTCTCGGTCTTGTCACGAGGTTTTGTCAAACTTGTTTAGTCGTTGAGAAAATGGAATTGACTCGAGAAAATTCAAGAGCTATGATTTATTATGACTTTCGAAGTGGTTTAACACAAAAACAGTGTGTTGACCGGATGATTTCTGCATTTGGTGATGAAGCCCCATCCAAAACCACAATNGCGCCATCTGTGAGATTTTTTAATACTAACGTGTGTATGAAAGCTCTTGTAGTGAATTTTAATTTAGGATTATACGTGAAATTAAAATATCAATTCACAGAGGGCGCTACCTTACAATTATTTACTAATGACAAAATTTTACATTTACTTAAGACGTTTAGGATAATTGTATTTTAATTTTGGAAGGTTTCACTTCTACCACATGTGAATTGCACACATTTTGTTTTTTTTCTTTCTAATAAACTAGAAAAATATAATTGAGTTTGTTTTATTTGCTCACAACGCTGTTGCATCTGGCACGACAACCTGTATAATAATTATTTATAAGCAAAATATTTATAAGTAAGTACATTCAAATTATATTAATAAGTATAAAGGTGACTTATAATATTGATATTATTTTTTCTATTTACAGTTTATTCAGTTTACTCTGACAGACAAAGTCTCTGATCGTCTCAAAGTAATTTATTGAGTGGAATAACATCATTAGATATTGAACAGGTATTTAAAATATAATTGACATTATTTACGCAGTCTGGTCACTAAGAATGTTTTATTTGGTTTTTTTTTATATGACGTCTAAATTAGCTCACGGCGCATTTAGTGTTCAGTGGCCCATACACATCACTAAGTGAATGTTGTCATGTACCATTTACCATCTAAGCAATAAAAAAAATGTTAATTTACGTAACTAGCACTTTTTTTAATAACCCTTCTTCTCCACTCTTCAGCCTTTTCGGCACCCGATGTGCGTCTAAGATAGTAAACCCTAAATTGTATGATACTAAAATAAAAATCTTCTGAAGCTAATTAATTACATGTGATTTACTAGCTGATAAACCATATGAGAAGAGAAATTCATTGTTTCAATATTTTATCAGGTAAAACGATGGCGTACACCGATAAACAAAAGGAACGATCAAAGGTAACAACAGATTATGAACTAATTGAAGTTGAAGACGGACATGAACTAATTGAAGTTGAAGATGGACATGAACTAATTGAAGTTGAAGATGGACATGAACTAATTGAAGTTGAAGATGGACATGAACTAATTGAAGTTGAAGATGGACATGAACTAATTGAAGTTGAAGATGGACATGAACTACTTGAAGTTGAAGATGGACATTTAAAAACAAAAGAGTATGCCGAAACTGATATAATTTTTAATAGCGATGGCGTTAGCTTTGTTGGTGGAGTGGAAGCTACGAAAGAAGATTTATTCGATTCGAAAACTTCTATTCTATTTTCACCGATGTGGAAACAGGTATTTTTTTAATGTTACTAATAAGATTAATTAAAAATGAACACATTTGTGATTTAGGTGGTTGATTCTTCAGACTTCACGCCAATCGCCTTTGATGGTGTATCACTGCCAGTTTGCTCCGACTTCAAGTACCTCGGCTCTATACTTCAGAACGACGGCAACATAGACTGTGACGTAACAAACCGAACAATAGCTAGTTAGGTGATATGGCGACAGGTCTCTGTAACAGCATGCAATCTTAGAATGACCCTTTAGCTTAAGGGGAAAATTTACAAAACGATCATTAGACCTGTCGTGCTGTTTGGATCTGAATGTTGGGTGACGAAAGTAAAGCACGAAAGAGGAGTGCACGTGCCAAAGATGCGAATGTTGAGATGGATGTGCGGATTGACAAGAATGGACAAAATAAGGAATGAGTATATCAGAGGAAGTGTGAAAGTAGCCCCGGTAATTAACAAATTAAAGAGCGGATTGTTAGCATCGTATGGACATGTGAGGCGTAGACAGAAAATGCATGTGATTAGGAGATGTATGGTAGTGGTCGACCGAAGAAGACATGGATGGATTGTGTGAATGAGAGAGAGAGAGAGAGGAGTGAGTGTTGAGATGACAGCTGATAGAAGAGAATGGATTAGAAAAAATCGCTGTGCCGACCCCACCTACTGGGATAAGGCGGAGAAAAAGAAGAAAAGAAGAAAGTCTGGATTTACACAAACCATGTCAAATTCATAAAAATAATTACAGAGCTTAGCAGCGTCAGTGCCGATCTTGTTAAATATTGCCTTGGGTTTGACGTCTGGATTCTCGGCGACCTTGTTACCACAATTGGAGAAAGAAGCTGGACCCATTCCGGCAGACGAAGAAACAGCATCTTGGATAGGTCTGTTATTAAAGTAATACTTATCTTAAGACTTTTGAAATAACAGCACTGGGAATTATAATTGGCTAAATAATAATAATTAATGGCCTTGCAAAAAAGGAACTAGCCGATTCGGAATTAAGAATAGAAAAAAAAACTTGAATATCATCCCCTGCCTTCAGACATTAGGAAAATACTCAACTGCATTAAAACAATTTCGATTGTAGTCTTCTAACCAGACTGTAACAATATCTAATCGAATTTTGGAACCAAAATTGTGTTCATTACAGAAAAATAACGTCCGAAAATTAGTAGTTTTTTACTAGTGGTAGGACCTCTTGTGAGTCCGCACGGGTAGGTACTACCAGCCCACCTATTTCTGCGTGAAGCAGTAATGCGTTTCGGTTTGAAGGATGGGGCAGCCGTTGTAAATGTACTTGAGACCTTAGAACTTATATCTCAAGGTGGGTGGCGCATTTACGTTGTAGATGTCCATGGGCTCCAGTAACCACTTAACACCAGGTGGGCTGTGAGCTCGTCCACCTATCTAAGCAATAAAAAAAAGTTAGTAAGTGCACCTGAACCACACTCTAGTCATTTCGTATTTTGTGAAGTGGCTACTATAACAAAAGGTACCAGATAGTAGTGAGATAGCAGTGTAAAACATGGATTTATTTATACTAACTATGATAATAATAATAAATAACTATATAACTTCATGGTTACTTGAAATAAAAACATTATTATTATTATTATTATTATGCGCTACCTGTTGATGTTACTGTGACATAAATCTTCCTTTGCATGTCAACAATAAACGCAACGTAAATTCATCACATTTCGATGAATCATTTAGGAATGAATGAAGAGCACATAGACGTTGAAAATACGTGTTCCTCAATGCTGAGTGATGTGACCTTTACGGAACACTTTTGTTCGGATTATGTTCCACTATTCCTTTCTGTCCTCTGCGCAGTTGATAGTGACATTGATGCTGTAGTCCAATGTCGTCTTAATTTGATCGGATCAGTGCATGCGACTACGTCCAATAGGCCTCTTTCCTTCTTCTTTGCTGGTGATGATTAGTTTTTCGATATTGTCACCCGTGACCGAAAAACTCGAAAATCCAACGTAGGCAAATGATGAAGAGTCTTGTGGAGTCACCTGGTTCTTCCAGGATTAATTCGTTGGTCTGATGTGCCATCCAGGGAATCAGCAGCGTCTTCCTCCAGCATCATAATATCTCAAACGCGTCAACCCAATTTCGATCAGAAATAAAAATAAATGTGTTCAAATTGTTTTCTATTTCAGCTTCAATCGCAGCACTCCCAATGGTTCCCGGCTGCCTAATATCCGGATGGTTGTTTGAAAGATTCGGAAGAAGAAGAGCTCAATTTATAGTATCTGCTTTGTTTCTGATCGGCTGGATCCTTACGGCAACAGCTTACAACCTGACATTTATCCTAAGCGGAAGATTGTTCACTGGGCTTTGCTCAGGATTAATAGCTCCCTTGGGACCGGTATATGTCGGAGAAACTTCGGAACCGAAGTATCGAGGCTTTTTTCTTGCTGCGATTTCGTTAGGCATGACCTTTGGTATCATATTTGCACATGTAGTCGGCACATTCACATCATGGCAATGGACAGCGGTAATATGCGCCGTGTTTCCAATATTAAGTATAGTCTTACTAGTTTTCTTACCAGAAAGTCCCACCTGGTTAATATCAAGAGGTCGCATTGAGGAGGGTGTCAAGATTTATAACTGGTTAAGAGGGAATAATGACGAAGCCAAAGCTGAACTAAAAGCTATAATTGATCGTAAATTGGCAGCTCATGCTTCCCCAGTACAGACTTGGAGAAATAAACTCCTCTATCTTAAAAGCCCAGAACTAATAAAGCCTTTAATGATTATGAACTTATTTTTTGCTACATGTCAGTTCACGGGAACAAATGCTGTCACGTTTTATTCTATAGATATTTTGGGAAAGGCTGTAGGTAAAGGAATAGATCAGTATTTAGCGATGTTAATAATCGATTTGCTGAGGTTGATAGCTTCACTAGCAGCCTGTGTAATCTGTAAGAAGTATGGTCGAAGAAATGTATTCTTCCTGAGCAGTGGTTTAACTGTAGTATCTTTAATAGGTTTAGCAATGTTTTTGTATCTGAAGCCAGAAAACATGTCTTGGATACCACTATTTTGTTTAATGTTTTACATTTGCGCAATAACTATTGGCGTGGATCCAATACCGTGGATAATGTGTGGTGAGATTTTTCCGGAAAATGTTCGTGGAATGGGATCCGGGATCAGTACGGGCGTGGCTTTTGCGAGTTTATTTGTGGTGGTCAAAACAGAACCGGGAATGATGAAGAATTTAGGCGAAGCATTCACTTTTATGATTTACGCGACTCTAACATTATTTGGGGTCGTCATATTATACTTCACTTTGCCAGAAACGAAAGGAAAAAGCTTACATGAGATCGAAGATAAACTCAAAAGTCAAAACTGCAACAATAGCCGAAGATCTGTAATTGCTTTTTAGCGGCGTTAATGTATCTACTAAGTGATTGCCCTTCTATTGTTAAGCGGAGCAATATGTATTAGACCTTGATAGGTAACCTATTTGTAGGAAGATCAGTTCCTATGGTAATAAGAATATTTTATCCTGTATGAGAAACGAATAAGGGCTTCGGGAAAAATCTATCATTATTATCAGCTATCGTCCCCATATAAGACAGGAGCTGAAAGGACATTTTTTATTATTTCACTAAGGTAAATGATTAAACGAATTTTCAGCTCATCTAATGTTTGGTGAAATGATTTTAGGTTACATAAGTTACTCATGACTTCCTAAATTGTATTATATAGAAGATAACCAAATGCTACTTGTTAATAAGCTGTAAATAAGTAAACTTTTCTTTCATCGTATTGCTCTTGAAAAAGTATAGGGAAACAATTCATATTTATTTTATCCATGCACGTTTTTATTACAAACTTGTGAGCTTTGGTAAATTTGTTATTTTTATAGCGTAGATGGTTGGAAAAGTTTATAGCCGACCTGGTGATAAGTAGTAATTGGAGCCCATAGACATCTACAACGTAAATACCGCCACCCATCTCTAGACATGAGTTGTAAGGTCTCATTTTTCTACAGTTTTCCGGAATGCTAATCGCAGGATATTTCGGATAATTTATATTGCAAAGTGGTGTCTACTCGACATTATTTGATTGGAAAATACCTTCCGTTATTACTTCGGAGTCATTCTGTAACCGCAAATATTAATTAATATCACAAACAGTAAAGGACTTTGAGAGATTATGAAGACGAAGATAGTGATATTGGAGATAAGGGTGGTTAAAGATGAGGACTAATGCAAGAGTTCACTCTAGAATAATCAGTTGTGGTCGGAAAATTCTGTGGAAGCTCCTTACTAGTTAGAGCATGTAAATATTTACTATCCAGCTGGGTAATTTCGTATCGAGTGATGTGACTCTGCAAGCTCTAATCCAACGGATGGTGCCATTTTTAAGTAAATTTACGCTTAGCACCTGTCCAGGCAAGACTTGAATATTGTAAGCACATCATAAGGCACAGAGATTTATCGGTACTTTTTTAAAATGTTTGTCTTCGTGTCTTAGACAAGCAACACATAGGACTATCCACGTTTACGTATGTAAGCTTCAAGGAAGAACGTTATTGTTTGATTCCACTAAGTAATTATATTAATAGTGTTAGACGCACAGTAATAAATCTTGAAGTCAGTGGGCGGAGCGCTTAGAACAAAAACTTGTGTCATTGATGTCGCGGCTCATTGCCCTCGTATGGGCATTTTATCAAACCGTGTGTACAGTATCGGGATGTAATATTAGGGTGCTTACATATTGCACACAAAAGTGTTTTTTCTTTAATTTTCACATAATCATAAAAACTTTGAAATTACTACAAAATGAATGTTTATTCTTGTACACACTTTACAAAACTGGTGATGAAATAAAGATATGACTAATTGTTAAATTTATTTTTGTATCGTAATAATATAGAAGTGATTCATGACTTACCAAGCTCATCAGGCGAAAGGTATCAATGATGGTCTCTATTTAAATGAGTTATTTTTTAATTTTATTTTACTGCTTTTATGTACGTACGGGTGTACGAGCTCACAGCCAACCTGGTGTTAAGTGGTAGGCAGCGGCTTGGCTCTGCCCCTGACATTGCTGAAGTCCATGGGCGACGGTAACTACTCACCATCAGGTGGGCCGTATGCTCGTCTGCCTACAAGGGCAATAAAAAAAAAGTGGTTACTGGAGCCCATAGACATCTACAACGTAAATGCGCCACCCACCTTGAGATATAAGTTCTAAGGTCTCAGTAACGGCTACCCCACCCTTTAAGCAGAAACGCATTACTGCTTCACGGCAGAAATATGCGGAGTGGTTGTACCTACCCGTATGGACTCACAAGAGGTCCTACCACCAGTAAGAGTGAGTACAAAATCTAGAGCAGATTATGTTGACGTAGTGAGATAAGTGGTTCTCAGTCACTCTGGCCCGTAAAGGACGAAGTTGTCGGGACCTACAGAAATAGAGGCCAGTGTACCTATTTCACATTGGACTCCAGCATCAACGTCGTCATCTACTGCGCAGGGTGCAGGAATAAATGGAGGAAAATAGTCCGAACAAAAGTGCTCCGGTATGGTCACGACCCTCAGTACTGAGGAACACGATGCAAGGAATAGAAATAAAAGTTCGAATTATGCGAATGGGGTCCAAATCCTGTAGGCATTAATCAATTTTTCTCTAAACAAATAGGTATCTATATCACTATATCTATCATGAAATAACTATGAAGGATTTTGTCGCTAACGAAAAACGAGGCTCTGAATTATTATTTTTATTGCTTTTGTAGGCAGACGAGCATACGGCCCACCTGATAGTAAGTGGTCACCGTCGCTCATGGACGTCAGTAACGCCAGGGGCAGAGCCAAGCCGCTGCCTACCACGCCATTGAAAATCAAATGCTCTATGATCACATCTTTACGTCCATATCCTTTGCGGCTATAAGATCCACATCTTACAATTCAGTTCCTGTTGTTAAAAATTAACAAAAAAAACTGTGGAGTCGACGCGGATAGAAATGAAAAATTAAAACGTGATTTACGTCGTATTTTCACCGGGTTTTCGCGAGTCCTGGACACAAAACTAATTTTACGGTTTAATTTACATGACTGACTCGGCGGGGTAAGAGTTAGAGCCTCTGACTCACCGTGGGTTCGATTCCCACATCGGGCAATCATTCATGTGATGAACAGGCTTGTTTGCTCTTTGTCCGGATGTTTATTATCTATATTTACTGGTTGTAGGACCTCTTGTGAGTCCGCGCGGGTGGGTACCACCACTCTGCCTATTACTTCCGTGAAGCAGTAATGCGTTTCGGTTTGAAGGTTGGGGCAGCCGTTGTAACTATACGTGAGACCTTAGAACTTATATCTCCAGGTGGGTGGCGCATTTACGTTGTGGATGTCTATGGGCTCATTTTGCGATTTTCCGGATTCAAACGCATTCACTATTTTGAATTTATCACTTAATGACAGTACTTTAATTTTCCGTTTTGACATGATGCAGAACAGAACTTTTCTTCGCAATTGATTAACGATAAACTGAGTAAGTCCGACAAACAGGACGGTACACAGGTACACGTGTCCATTCGAAAAGAATGCGATAAAATAACAACGTTATTTAGTTCCACGAAATAGAATAGGTTCAATATTGACGAGAAAACAATTCAAAAACAATGGTAGGAAGTTCCACAAAAGTTAAGAATGAGTCATAAAATAGCAGATGTTAAATTTGTAATTTGTTTTTTCACTCGTTCCTCCTAAATAATATAAATAAATAAAGCTCGACTGTCGCTTATAGAGGTATAGATAAATAGCAATCTCACTTACGGAGGTCCATGAGGGAAAAACGACTCTCTCTTACAGAGGTTTCTGTTTCTCTCTAATAGAGGTTTTAGGAGCTTAAAATGACGGGTCTTGGCTATTACTCTCACTTATAGAGTTTTCTCACTTATCCAGTTCTCACTTAACCAGGTTTGACTGTATGTAAATATTTAAACTTACATAAGTATGTATGTCAGTCTCTGGTACCCATAACACGCAGAATAACTAATTTGGAGGTCGGATGATTGTGCGTGATTTGTGTTCAGGTATTTATAAAAAAAGGGTTTTTTTTATAAAAAAAGACGGTATTTATCACAGTATTCAAATGTCGATGAATTAATCAATCTAAGATGTTCGTTATCACGAAAACTATCAAATATTTGAAATATCGGAAATAATTTGAATTATAGTATGCGATCTTCAAATACTGTGTTATTTTCTTTCATAGCTGTTTTAAGATTTGATTAGCATGAAGAAATTTTGAGAATCGATTGTGGTTTTGGGTTCCATTGAGACTTCGGATTTTTGTTTTGTGTTTGCAGTAATTGAAATTTTAGTAATGGTCAAATGACACAGTCACGTACTGGATACGTACAAAGCAAAATACGTGTCTACGTCTCATTGTGAGTTGTTTAATGTAAATCTTCAATTTATAATGTTTCAGCTACTTTCAGTTCAGCTAAGTATTTATAATTTCTAATTCACTCTGTTCGATATTAATGTTACGCGCTGGGGTTCGGGATAAATAAAATTCTACCGAATTACAAGTTAGCACTGCATTTATCACTTAGAACACTTCACAAACACTTTAAAATTCTTAATTCGCTTCTTCCGCTTCGCTTCAGGTGATCCGTTCGCTGTTTCGTTTCGAATAGTTCCGATTATTAACTGACTGCGTGCCATCTCTGCAACGCTTTTATAGTCGAGACGAAATCCCTAGAATCGTCAACAATATTCCACAAAAGTCGAGTATTGTGTGTTTCCGCTATCTGACAATAGATGGCGTTGTATTTCTCAAGCGTTCTAGATGCTACTAGATCTTTCGGTATTCGTTCGACTATTCGGCGATAGATGGCGTTATTCTTACCGGCATAACATTAACATATTTTTTGACTCGTGTCCTCTGCTACATAATGTTCATATTTTGATAGAAAAGAAAATTTTCATTCGTACATTGTCTCCTTTTTATATCGACGGATGAAAAGCTATTTGGTTTAAACGATAATTCACTTAATACGCGACATTTCTTTTCGTAATTAAAAGTCAGTTTTATTTGGTATTAGCACCAACGGGCCGGTATTACAAAATTATAAATTGAATATAATTTAGAGAAAAAAAAAAGTCCACTCTATCGCTTTAGTGTCCGAAGTGAGTCTAGGAGTGGCATCCATGGCTGACTAAACACCAGTTCGTAACGAAAACCCGCTGCATTCGGCCGCTACAGTCATTCACAATATGTCCTTAGCCGAAGGAGCTTCAGACACAGAACAGGCCAGGCAAGAGGAAGATAAGAGCTCGACCACGCTCCAGAAAACCAACGAGAAACGTCAGGTAAGAAGTTCTTGTTTAAATACGCATCAAGAGCAGAAGACATCAGGAGGACATTATTACTATGGTAAATAGCCTAGCGTTATAAAACATGCCATAGAATTAACACGTCGATAAATACGGTCTCTATATTATTAATTTTGTTTTTGATACATATTATCGTCTTTTCGCATTAAAAGTGCACAATTTCCAAAAATATTCGAACTTGAGTTAATATGCGGAATCATTTGGTATCATCAGTATTTTTCTCATAAATACTGTCAAAAGAGCGTAGTTTAGTTTTAGTTTTTTTTTAGTTTTAGAGTTACCTATATTTTGACGACTATTAACAAAATTAATATATAATTTTATCTTACTTTAAAAGACAGATAAAAAATAAAAAATAAATGTTGCAAAGATGATTAATATTAAAAATACCACATGTTAAACCTTTAAAACACTCTCCTGTAAAATTAGTAAGTTTTAAGATTGTACAGTTTTAATGCGAGAAGATGATATATTATGTTAAATGGACTATACTGTTTTTAACTGAAAAATGTTATTAATTACGTATATCAACCGCGGAAGTCTTGGAACATTTTGAATGTGTATTTTTCTATTTGTTTTTAAACGGGTAGTATTTCCGTTACGCAAAAAATTGTGTTTATTTGAAGGATTTGGTGATCAAACTGAGGGAGTCATTGACCGATATGGATCTTTTAGCGCTTCCTCAATTTTAAGAATTTTTCTTGAATTTTAACCGTATTTACTCGTAAAATGATTCAGGATCTAAATTTTCAGAAGAAGTTTCATAGTTAAATTAAGAGTTTTAAATTTTAGATCATATCCTTATCTAGACAAGTTTTGTTTCTTCGAATTGACAAAGCGCATATACCACATCTAACTCGATCGAAAGAGTTGAAACGGTTACTAACGGGTCTTAGATTTTCTTCTGTAGATTGCGGATTTTAGTTAGTGCCCCCGCGTAATTAAGCTTCCTTTTTTCATTTGCGTTCATCTTAAGTTCGTCGGTTTCATTGATAGCTCTGATTGTTACTATAAAAAATTAAAATTTTAAATTTTGTAATATGTAAACATAAAAACTGATTATACTCTCCAAACGCTTGAAGGAGGTTACACATGATGCTAAGGCTGGCTGGTACTTTGCACAGAGAGTGAGTCTGGCTGTCCAACGAGGCAACGTAGCCAGTATCTTGGGAACTGTGCCTCCTTCAAGCGCATTGGAAGATCTGTTCTACTGTGTGGGTTGAGTTATGTTAAATTATTTTGATTTGACTTTTTGATAATAAGATTTTTTTATTTATTGCTTAGTTGAGTGGACGAGCTCACAGCCCACCTGGTGTTAAGTGGTTACTGGAGCCCATAGACATCTACAACGTAAATGCGCCACCCACCTTGAGATATAAGTTCTAAGGTCTCATGATTTAGTTACTGAACTGATTATTGTATTTATTATTACTACGTGTACTCCGTACTCCTCTGTATATGCTTTAATGTAAGTTTTAACTTAGTTATACGTGTTACTATTCACTCGTTTATCGAAGCTTGTATTTACGCTAATTAACTTACGAGTATTAAAATCTTGTATGAGAATCGAAATCGACGCCATTATATTATGTAGTTTAATGATTGGGTTTTTTTGTTTCAAAATGGAGGTTGAAATTCCATTTCTAATTCTTCATACCTTCATTGTTAGCGAAGAAATTAGTGTAGTTTTTTAGTTCTAAAAACATTTGGTGACATACTTTTCTTGGCATTGGCACTTTTCGTTCACTTAAGCTCAGTATACTTTATGTACCGTACATGCAAATTTCATTGTATTTAATTGTTAATATGAATATTGGTAAAGCTGCAAGATTTTGAATTTTTGAAAAATTGGTTGTTTTTTCGCTTCTATCAATGTTGGAATTGTGATTGTTAGGTTATATTTTAATCTGGGGTTGTCTTTCTCCAGAATCCTGGATATGACATTGTGGTCCCGAGTAGTGCTAGATTCACTTTTCGCCTGTTGAAACATGTTAGTCCGACAAACTGTTTAGAGTGCTGCTTCTTAGTCAATACGATTTACAGATTTATTTAAAAGTAAATAGGAACTTCATTTATTTTTAAATGGGTTCGTCTTGGTTAAATCACAACAATTAGGAACAATGGAAGAAACCCTTTAATTCTTTTATTTATATGAAGACTAGCTGTACCCGTCCGCTTCGCTGGGCATTTAAAATTAACATTATTATTTCTCATCCCCACAAAGATTCTCATCATCAACGCCCCCGCAACTGGTGTAGGGAGTCCAACACTCATATAAATATTAGCCTATCCATTAAGTACGTGTACTTTCTACATGGATACCAACTTTCAAGTCAATCGGATGCATGGTTCAGTAGTTATAACGGAACATCCGTAAAAACCACTGTAGATTTATATATTAGTATAGATTTTATAGCCTCGTATCGAGATCTTTAGCCAGCATTAACTCTATACATATGTACTGAAGCTATCAATTTTCAACTTAAACGACGTTTTTAAGATCAATTCTCACCAAAAATCATTTAATTGCTCTAAAAATTCGCCATCGTAAAACAAATTGAACAATTGGTCGCAATCATCTCCCTTAAAAGGCTCGGTAATTAATGTCTTTCAAAGAGAATCGATCGTGCTTTGACAGTTGTTCTGCGCACCCACGTAACGATCGGTCGTAATTGTAGCCTTAAATTGAACTAATAAAATGGGGATTTTCGTCGGAAGTATTGTTTTAATTGATGCTTGTTTTGCTTTATTAAAAAATAAAAAAAAGGTCACCGATGTGAGTCTACTAATTGCCCTAAGAATATTTTTGAGGAGTGGTCTTCGTGTACCATGTTACAGGAAGATTCGTCAAGTTGTTTTGTTTAATTTAAATCTTTTGTTTAAATGTGGATAGTTAGCGCGATTTAATAGTACAAATCGCGAATTTAGTTTAGTTACATTTAAAAAATTTAATTAAAATATCTTACACAATAAAGTTTCTAATCAATTGCGAACTTTTCTGACGAATCATTAATCCGTGTTACCTTTTTTTTATTGCTTAGATGTGTGGACGAACTCATAGCCTACCTGGCGTTAAGTGATTGAGCCCATAGACATCTAATGCGCCACCCGCCCTGAGATATAAGTTCTAAGGTCTCAGTATAGTTACAACGGCTACCCCACCCTTCAAACCGAAACGCATTACTGTTTCACGGCAGAAAATAGGCAGGGCGGTGGTACCTATCCGTGCGGACTCACAAGAGGTCCTACCACCACTAGTAATATGTTGCTTATGAAGGTTTCTTTCGTTTCTTGTTCAGTGATGTTTGTCTTATATTCAATGCATAATGTTTTCGTATATATTTTTCTGCCTTTTTTTTATTAGCTCAATAACGTTTGATAGACGAATCCAATTCTTAATGTATAATAAAAAAAAAAAGTTCCAAACATGTATTTTACAATTCTTTTATGTTAATCGGAGTATTTATTATTTATTACTTAAGCCGCGATGAAACATTCATTTAAAAGGAACTTTGTGCTTTTGGAAAATCTCCGATAAACAGACATTATATTTGTCTGCTGCAATGCAGTTCATGGATTCTGATATCAAGACTGGGCCTGCTAAGGTAGACAAAGGCATTAACAATCGATTCACCATTTATTTAACACCACAAGAGCAATAATTAGTAGCAGTAATGCGTTTCGGTTTGAAGGGTGGGGCAGCCGTTGTAACTATACTTGAGACCTTAGAACTTATATCTCAGGGTGGGTGGCGCATTTGCGTAATATGTCTATGGGCTCCAGTAACCACTTAACACCAGGTGGGCTGTGAACTCGTTCACCCATCTAAGCAATAAAAAAAAAGATTTACGCATCTAAATCACTAAGCCTATATGTGAGTACTATAAAAGTCATTTCCAAAACCATAATTTTGATAGTACATCGGGAAGTAAGCGACAGGATGCTAAAAGAACAATAAGCCAATTATGTTTCGTAAGAATCAAAGATATTCCTCATCGCTGATCCGTGACAGATGTTAAATCAACCGTACACGATAGCATGTATAAGTAATTCAAACTCGAGAGTATTAAATGAATCCGTTATTATCCCTTAGAGCAAGCGTCGATAAATCGATCTCTCTAAAGTGCGCAGCGTCGGAATATCGACCATTTTTTTTCTTCCTGCCTACGCTGATAGCCTTGAGAAGCTATTTGAGATTATCCTTGACGTGTAATAACGACCATTGCGCAGTTTGATTATATTAGTTATCGACTTGGATTGATATGTCTTAGAGCGCGTACGTATATCGTTTTTAATAAATTAATAACATTTATAAATAACCATTTAAAAATTATTTTGCTGTGAATTTAGCATTGATATTTGAATTTTTTTTAAGTTGATATTATTTTATGAGGTATACTTTTATTCAAAATTCCTTTAGCAATTTCCGCGAAATATTTCAAAATGAGCTCAGCACTAAAGGGGTTAAGAAATAATGTCGAATACATTTCTCTACGTTTGATCGATTTGTGACCGTGATAGCACTTTTAGTAAATGTTCTTTTTTTATTGCTTAGATATGTGGATGAGCTCACAGCCCACCTGGTGTTAAGTGGTTACTGGAGCCCATAGACATCTACAACGTAAATGCGCCACACACCTGGAGATATAGTTCTAAGGTCTCAGTATAGTCCCAACGGCTGCTCCATCCTTCAAACCGAAACGCATTAGTGCTTCACGGCAGAAATAGGCGGGGTGGTGGTACCTACCCGTGCGGACTCACAAGAGGTCCTACCACCAGTAATTACGCAAATTGTAATTTTGCGGGTTTGATTTTTATTGCACGATGTTATTCCTTCACCGGGATTCGAACACCGGTACGTCGCTCGATACGAATGCACCGGACGTCTTATCTTTGAGGCCACGACGACTTCAGATGTTCATAAACATTTCAAATAAAGCGTATTTACTGACGGTGAGATCTTTAGATTGGCTAGGTCAACACACTCGCGCGTATTTACCGCGACTATCGCTACTAAACAATTATAATGAACTCTGCGATTTTCATTTGTCTCTTATGTTTTATTTGGAATTCAATTGCAGTAATTCGATCGTAAAAATAGTTGAAAAGCTAAACAAAATCAGTTAATGATGAAAAAAAACCGTTGGCGCTAATTTCATCTGAGATCTTGTTATGGTATAGCCTGAGGCTTCGAGTCAAAGCAACTGCCAGACATAATTAAGAAAATGTTAGTCCTTTTATGTGCAAAGGAATGTAAAGGTCAATTTAATTTTTTACAGAATTTCGAATTTGGCTCAATATTCAAATGACAAATAAGGGCGTAGTCAGACGTGATAAAAAACTGCAAACTATTTGCAGCGTCGAAAATTTTAAACATAATGTAATAAATAACATTTAAAAAAAAAAAAAAAAATTTATAAATATTTTGGAAAATATTGTAAATATTACTCTTTTTAGTTAGGTTGTATTTTAATTAATTTTTTTACAATTATTTTCAAAATGTATTATAGGCTTAAAGTGATGTATTGTCCAATTTATATAAAACTAGCGACCCACCCTCGCTTCGCTTCGGAAACATTAAAACACAAATGAAACCAAAAAATAAAAAATAAAAAAAAAATAAAAAAAGTAGCCTATGTTCATCAGGGACAATGTCGGCTTCTAATGGCAAAAGAATTTTTCAAATCGGTCCAGTAGTTTCGGAGCCTATTCGAAACAAACAAACAAACAAATCTTTCCTCTTTATAATATTAGTATAGATATAGATTTTCTTGTAAATGTCGTCAGTCCAACTCACTCTTTTGCCGGATATCTTCTTTCATTAGAATGAAAATAAATACAATCCAAAAACAAGCTTTTATATTACAGAAAATCCAACTAAAAAATAGACAATAAATTTATTGTAAAAAAAGCGTGCGCGACGTCAATATTTAAATATTTTATTGACAGATATAACCAACTGAAGTCTTATTATTTTGATAATATGTATCTTAAAAAGCTACCCACGCTTTTTTACAATAAATTTATTGTCTATTAAGTAGATTTTTTTATAAAAGCGTCATCGATCTACGATCAATGAAAAACGTGTTATTTAGTTTTTTTTTTAACTATTATTTATTTTTCATTTTTTTGTTTAGATATCATTATGTATCATACATTTTTCATTCATTATTGTACATTCAGGCAAGCACAACAGTTTCCAAATTGATAAGTGAAAAAAAAGGCGTTCAAGTGAAAAATGTTGTTGTGACTGCCTAAAGTAACAGGTCCTAGCATTAGTCCTTGATAAGTATGCTAAATTTCGAGTTAATCCGACGTTTTGAAGGCGGTTAAAATAATGGTCAAAGGTATGTAACATAGATAATACGTACATTTCGTACATTACGTACGAAACCAATAATAAAAGCGTATTAAAAATAGTTTTGTTTTAATTCTATTGTAATATTAGTATCATTTAAAAAGTAGAATTCATTAAATTCTCTGTTATCAGTTACGATAAGATAAACTTTGTACGCTTAACAGATGTCCGACTCGTACATGTGGAAAGAACAGATTCACACTCTAATGAAGGGCGGAGAGAGCGAGTCCGACATATCGGACTCAGAGCATTTCCTCACAAAGGGCGCCTTCCTTCTCACTCCCTCCCACGGCCTCAGCATGGAAAAAGCCTCCGCCATCTGTGAGAAGATGGAGTTCAAGGGATGCTTCTCCCTGACGAAGACTGCTACTGGAATACTCTTTAAGTTTTCCAGCGTCGATGACTATCAGATGGTATTCAAGAAAGGTTTCCATAAGGTTACCGGATCGCGGTTCTATAGGAAGGTAATTGGATTGACTTCAAAAATATACTGTAGCTTAATTTTCTGTTGCAAAGATGTTGGTCTAAATGTTTTCTTTGGCTTTTTACTTCTTCCTTTGACTGCATTTACTCATTCTAATGGCTCCTCGTTTTCTCTTCGCCCTTCTTATTGCAACTAACTAACCCAAACAAAAATAATTGAAATTGATTCTTTTACATATCTTAATAAACTTACCATATTGCTCCCGGCTGCTAGTTCGTGGGTTCGATTCCCACTTCAGGCAAACATTATTAGGCCGAAGAGGTTTGCTTGCTTTATTTTTGCGTTTTTAATGTCTTTTTAAACCTATTTATATATTTATTTAATTATTTTTATCAGTCCTTATTTCGCACGGTTCAAATTATCCTATTTTGCTTGGATGTCCGTGTGTGATTCGGCTCCCACTCTTCATTTCGTTTTCAATTAATTTCTCGTGTCTTCGTCTAGATCGCTATTCCGTGCAGACCGCAGAAGACCTTTACCATTTATGTATACGACATTCCCGACGAGATCCCAGAGGAGGATGTGCGCCACGCTTTGTACAAATTTACTTCGGTCGTTGAGGTCGTCAGGCTGTATTACTCTGGATCCCCAAAAGACGGGAACACTGGTAAGGACAAATAAACTACTAAGTATTTCGCGAACTAGCAAAAAATTCTTTATTTTATTTGTTAGGCACACAAGACACATCACAGGCCAAAAAGATACATAAAAACACAAGTAAAAAGAAACAAATCTGGCTTGCAACAAAAGCCATTTGCGCCCGACTAAGCAAGACAAAGTTCTGAGTTTGTACACAATGACCAATACCTGTGTCACTATTATCCGTATATATTTTAATTATAATAAACAAGGATTTCACATGATTACGACTGCTCTGCCTAGAGTAAACGACTACGATGAGGATATTTTGTGGATGGGCAGGCAAGATCGGGGGCCATTTGTGTTAAGGGATTTTCGGAGCGTATAAAGACAGAATTGTGGCTGGCCATTTCCAGACAAATATCGAAAGGCAGATTCAGTGAATACCTAACTTCTGAATAAATTCTATTGTACACTTAAACTGGATGATAGTTGGATCACGGCGGTAATAGATGGTACCAATTGATTTGGGTCCACAAAATTTCTTACCATCACTTAAAATATTTATATTGCCTAATTTACCGCTTTCTTTTTCTATCTACGCTGATAGCCTTGAGAGGCTATTTCAGCTTCGCCCTAACATGTAGGTGAGCTCACGGGGCTCAAACTAGAGTGTTGCTAACTGGCCCAAGCAAGAGCAGTGCTTCGCAGAATCTACCAACGGATCGGAAACGCGACCCACTGAGAAGATCCAGTGAGAAACTCAGTGGGCTGTGTCTATGGGTTAATTTGCTCGTCGAGGCTCGAGGAGGACGGTGACCGGATGTACCGCCAAAGTACCTGCTAATGTTTTTAATGGAGATCAGGAAAAAAGATCAAGTAATTTATGTTTAGTTACCTTCATTCAATATAATAGGTACATCGACTCCAAAACCAGAGAAGACCTCGTCCCGAGCTCTCACGACTATTGATGGAGAGCTCGTGAGCAGCATGGTGCCGAAGGAAGCCACGAGCGTGGTCCGTGTCACTCTCGCCAACATCGAGGAAGCCAACATTCTGCTGCAAAACGGCCTGGATTTCTACGGAGCTACGTTCTTTCCAACCGAATTAGCTACCCCAACCCAGGCAGCTAAGTTGATTAAGCCTAGCAAGTTAGTTTGATTTTTTTAGCCTAATAAATTCCTCATATAATGAAAGCTAAGAGACGTATAGTATTTACTGATCAAAACAAGCCGTAAGAGCAATGCTAACACAGTCCGTATGGCCAATATTGTTGGGAGCTTAATGATGGGATGATGATGATTTTTTTTTATTGCTTAGATGGGTGAACGAGCTTACAGCCCACCTGGTTTTAAGTGGTTACTGGACCTCAAAGACATCTACAACGTAAATGCGCCACCACCTTGAGATATAAGTGCTAAGGTCTCAGTATAGTTACAACGGCTTCCTCACCCTTCAAACGGAAACGCATTACTGCTTCACGGCAGAAATAGGCAGAAGGGTGGTGGTACCTACCCATGCGGACTCACAAGAGGTCCTACCAGTAAGTTATGTAACTAAAAAAATATTTATTTATGTCAGCAGAGTAACTGGAGGTACCGTGTCAGCCAGAGTCCGTGATTTGCTCCCGGTTTTCGACCAGCAAGGATTCGCCAAGTTCGCTCCACCGGCCTCTAGACTGGTGAAGCCACGTTCCAAGTGAAAGGCTGATAAATGTCATAGACCACAAACGCTAAGGACACGGCTGCTCGAACGAAAATCATCATAATATGTAGGCATCATCTAACTTGTACATATAACTTTACGCATTTAATTTACCGAACCGAATGTTGAAGCTTTTACTAATTTTTGATACTGGCTCATTTAGTCGGAACTCGCAATTTGATACTAGATTACCATAACAGTTAATACGTTTAACACTGAATAATTTCGTTCGATTTGTTTAGGTAAAGTACCATAGTGCATTTTTTATGTGCCATCTAATTTTATGTGATTTCATTTTTTTGTTACCGATTAAAAATAAATTTAATGTTATTAAAGGCGTGTTCTTATTTTCTTATCAACGGTTTTATTTTTTTATTGCTTACATGAGTGGACGAGCTAACGGCCCACCTGATGTTAAGTAGTTACCGGAGCCAATAGACATCTCTAACGTAAATGCAGGCCCCACATTGAGACATGAGTTCTAAGGTCTCAGTATAGTTACAACGACTGCCCCGCCCTTCAAGCCGAAACCCATAACCGCTTCACGGCAGAAATCAGCAGGGTGGCGGTATCTACCCTTGCGGACTGACAAGACGTCCTACAACCCTTTGTTTTTCTGTAAGGTACTGTAAAACTTACTGTCGATGTAAGTAATATAATTGAAGGTGGTATGGATGAACTACGCTCCCGTAGCGAGCGATGCGATTGTAAAAACAAAATATGCCAAGATCATCTCTTATGATTCTACAAAGCACATCCTATGAAACAAAAAATCCTCGAGTCAGATAAGACATACATCTATCGATGTGTTTGTAGATGTAATAACCATGCAAACTAGTGACAAACTTATCAACAATGCAATAATATTCTACTAGCTTATGATAAACAAACTGAAATGTTAAATTAGAATATTATCTTATCAGCTCAAGGTTCGGGTGGTGAAATGGTTTCTAAATTACATACCAAATAACAAATACGTAAATGACTTAATTTTGCAACACAATATTACATTTCAATCGAAAATGCTCAGGATGACAGCGAACCCGTCACGGTGTGTTACAAATGAAAGAATACATTGGGATCTTGCCATAAGAAAAGTCAAAGATAAAGTAATCCATAGAGCTAAAACCTACTCTGAAAGATAAGATACCCACCCAAATAACCTTGCTAAATATCTAATGGATAACCAAATGATTACAGGAAGACTTTGAAGAAGACCGCATCTATGGGCTATGAGCTTGTCCACCCAACTAAGCAATAAAAAATAATAAAAAATAACGCTCACACATACACAGACGCATATACAAACGCACGAACACACAGTACAGTACCGTCACTTATATCCAAAGTACGTTTCAGAGTGCATCCAGACATTTTTATAACCAAAATCAGGTACTTTTTACTTTGAAAACGTCGGGCGTCCGGACTAGCGTATATCCTTTTTAGTTTCTTAAATCTCCAAAAATCCTTGGATCCGTATTGGATGCGTAAAACATAAAGGGAGTAAATTGCCAAAATTTCAAGTTTGTAGCTACGGTTTAGCTCTGCGGCTTACAAATCTTTAACCACTATTAAACATAAGGGAATGGAACGTGTGATGTCGTTTATTGTGACCTCGAACTGTATGTGCGGTACATATGAAGAGCTTCATTTGTCATGCGAATGTAGGGCTACCGAATATATTGTTAAGGTTAGACACAATCTACTGAGTTTCTCACCGGTTTTTCTCAGTGGGTCGAGTTTCCAATCCGGTGGTAATTCCTTTTTTTATTTTTTTTTATTGCCCTTTTAGGCAGACGTGCATACGGCCCACCTGATGGTGAGTGGTTACCGTCGCCCATGGACTTCAGCAATGCCAGGGGCAGAGCCAAGCCGCTGCCTACCGAGCCAAGCCGCTGCCTACCGAAGCACTGCTCTAGCTAGTATCAGCAAGTCCTCCCAGGTCGAGCCCCGTGAACTCACCTACCAAACCATGCGTAGTTTGCCCGATTAGTCGATGGTAGTACCCCAATCCCTACCCTACGTAAGGTAGGGTAGGTTACGTAATCCCTACTTAAGCAGGGAAAATTGTATTTAAATTTTATTGAATAAGTACTGATAAGAAAAGGTTTAAAATAAAAAAAACCTTTTCTGTCACTGAATTTTTAAATGCACTGTTCTCCGATTACGCAATCAATTTGAAAATTTCACTCAAACACACTCACAAGACAGTGCGTTAACGAATAGAATACCTATGTAGATAGTGTCAATATAAAAGTGAGCTATATATGGTAAATTCTTTGTATACGAGCGTTACGATTATGTACATATCATTAAGTTTATTGGCGGCGTCTAAAGCGGTTGACGACATAAAAAAAAAAACTAATAAATGTGAACGCAACACAAACAAACAGACGACACGCGTATTGAAAAATAGAACGTAAAGGCTTCGTCAAACAGAACCGGTAGAGTTGGTTTTAGTTTATTTTTGTACATTTTATTGATTTCATTCATTACTGGTCCGAGGAAGTTTCTCTAATTATTATTATAATATAAAGTCAGTCAACGAATGTTGTTGTTTTTTTTTTAAAGAACTAGCTGTAAGAAGAATTAGGGAAGTGTAGAAGTCCCATTCGTTTAAATGCTCCCGCATGCTTTTTATTATACAGTTCATCTGGCAAAAGCGCATACATATAAGGCAGGGATTCCTAAACTTATTTTGTCAACTGCCCACTTTGAGAATAAATTATTTTTTAACGCCCCCATTTTTTCACCTACTTAAAAACCACTATAGCGAGAGCTCAGTCGGTGTCTTAAGAGTGCTCCTAGATGATTTCATCTAGATCATTCATCTAATAATATAATTTTATAAGTCGCCTCCCAAGCCTCTACACAGCGCCCCCATTTTTTTCTCGGTCTCTTACCGCCCCCATTTAGGCTTGCATTGCCCACAAGGGGGCGTTATCGCCCACTTTGGGAAATGCTAATATACGGTAAATGTAATAAAAGAAAAAAGTCAGGATAATACTCATTTAAATTAAAAAGTAATAACTATAAGTTAGTAGAGGTTTCTTAATAAGTCAAAGTATTAAATTATATGAAGTGTAAAAAAATAAACAATTAGGATTATCGAATCGGAACATTGATATCAGGGACTCTACTTATAAAGTTTACCGATAGCAAATGTTATTGTACATTTTATGAGTAAGATAAAATTAAATACTAAACAAATCACAACAACAGGACACAAAACAAGTATAGTAATCTACTTAGAGATATTTTTATTCCGAACATTTTTAGGTATCGGATAAGTTTAAATGAGATGTATTTTTTTATTGCTTAGATGGGTCGACGAGCTCACAACCCACCTGGTGTTAAGTGGTTACTGGAGCCCATAGATATATACAACGTAAATGTGCCACCCACCTTGAGATATAAGTTCTAAGATCTCAGTATAGTTACAACGGCTGCCCCACCCTTCAAACCGAAACGCATTACTGCTTCACGGCAGAAATAGGCAGGGCGGTGGTACCTACCCGTGGGGACTCACAAGAGGTCCTACCATCAGTAAAAAACGGATGACACAGTAATAGAATTTATAAAATACTAAAAATAGTCGGACGCGTTTCCTCTTGTTTGACAGCCCTGCCCATCCTTTAAATGTTCTATTTACATGACCAGATAGCTTAGTCCAGACGGCGCCTCTAAGCTCAGGACATTTCACTACTCATTTACACCCACTAGCAAAACTGAAGAGTATCACTCTCTCTCTCTATCGATAGGGAAAATAAAAATAAAGCCAAAAACAACTTCATGACTTTGATTGTTCTCACAACAATTCCCTATAACAATAATAAGAAATGTTTATTTCAGTAAAAAGCTATACATTTTGTTAGTATCACTTATAATCTATGTTAGTAACTTAAACATTACACATTATTCCAAGCACCGCTCACCGTTCTTGTCGAACCCGTCTCTTGCGATGAAGGGTTCGGCGAGTAAGCTAACCTATTGACACAGCCCACTAGATTTCTCGCCAGATCTTCTCGGTGGGTCGCATTTTCGATCCGATGGTAGATTCTGCGAAGCACTGCTCTTGCTAGGGCTAGTGTTAGTAACGCTCCCAGTTAGAGCCCCGTGAGCTCACCTACTCGTGCGGTAATGCTGGCATAGACTCTCAAAGCTACCAGCTTAGGTAGAAAGAAGCCAGAAAAAATAATAATTACACAAGAATATCTTTTGACCGATTGACAAAACGATCAAATATTTTCTTCAGTACTGCGAATTCCCAAAAAAAAAATGCAAGAGAAGAATCTACCCTCAGAACTAAATATTTGAATAAAAGATATTTGAGTCGTCTATTATCAAAGGTGGAAATCTGTGCATTTGGACAAAAAAAAATTATTGATATGTCGATACAGATTGATTTGAATATAATCGTCTCCTTCAAAGAATACGGTTCAAAACCTGCACTAATTAAAGGTTAATAGTTAACCTGTTATTTATCTAAGATGTCGTTCCGAAGAGTTTTGTGACTGCCAATGGAATACAAAGTCAATAATTCGTTTTTCTGATTTACCAATCATTGTCCAAAAGTCAGATTGCCGGCTTTGATAATAGTCGACTCATTTGTAAAAAATCTGTAACGCGCTGACGACGTATTCAAAAGAAGTATGCATATGTAATGACATACGTATATACATAAAATTATAATCAACGTAAACTTACCAGACCATTATTATTCGATTGAGCGATGATGACTCATCGAAGTACCTCTACAATATTTTACTGGCAATGTTATATTTGCGTCTTTATCTTATAGTTTTTTTTTTCTACTTTTAAGCTACGATCTGTCCCCTCCATCAACCGAACGTACAATCGTTCTGATATCAATTTTAGTTGTGATTCGAACAATGCCGTGACAACAACGTGTGACTTGCGTAATTTTTAGTAGCAACATTTAAATCAACACGTGTTTAAATATTAGTTTTAAACTTTGAACTGAGCAATGTATTAAACAATTTTATTATAAGACGCGGAGAAACCTTGAATTGTAACAAGCAACACTGATTTCATGTAAGAATGTGATTGCGAGAAGAATTGGAAGAACGATGCCAAAAATAACACCTTACATGAAACAAGTAAGTTAGTCTTTTTATTACTGCGATTTGACTTAACTATCCTAGTACCTAGTTTTTACCGAAAAAGAAAACACCTTTGATACAGTAAATGTAATTCTTTATCTTCTTGTATACATTATAGCCGTACTCGCCCGCTTAGCTGGGCATTTAAATTTAACATTATTATTTATTATCATTATTATTATAGACCAGTGTCGATAATTTTTAAAACCAAAAAAACTAATAGTAGGATGAAACCCATTAGAAAAGGAGGGGAATATTATAAAAATGAAAGGAAAAGGAAAAGTAAAATGGCAAAGTTGTAGGTAATAAAAAGATCTAACACTTTTGTATTTACACTTTTTTCACATAACCTCAAAATTTAAGTGAAAAATTAAAAATACCAAGTTTTTGGTTTTTTATTTTTTTATTGTTTTTCCTTCCATTTTTATAATATTGTCCTCCTTTTCTAATGGGTTTCATCCTACTATTATTTTCTTTCACTTTTCATTATTTTTAAAGGTTTCTACCCTGGTCTATTAGGGAGTCCAACAGTCATATATCCATTAAGTTCATGTATTTTCTACATGGATACCAAGTCTCAAGTAAATCGGATGCATGGTTCAGTAGTTATAATGGAACATCCGTAAAAACCACTGTAGATTTATATATTAGTATGTGGTTCGACAAAGAATTTCTTTTTAACATGCTGATTAAGGATCTGGCATGAGTTTTACGACCGGCGTTTTGCCCAAAGTCGTATTCCCATAACATATCTATGGCATTATGCCCATAGGAAGGGATTTTTCTGTTTCTTCTTTTGATGTTTCTTCTACGTCATTTACGATTCCATGATTTTCATATACATCATTACATTAAAATTCGCACTAAATATATATATATTCAACGTCAAACAGTTATAGATTGTTTTGTATTTTCATAATAATGTCAACACATAGTAATTGTAATATCATAATTTACTTGGGCTTTATTGGGAAAATTGTAACCACATTATAAATTATAACTAGAGGTCCCGCAATAGTCGAAATTCGACTATAATTAATTGGAATTGTAAGTTTGTACACCATTATGATTGTATTTTATACTTCAATAATCACAAATTTCGCCAAGACTACACTATAAAAAATATTAACAAAGACAAACAATATTTAATCTATTCTCAATTTGACAACAGACGTCAAGAACAAAAGTTTGACAATAAATAGTATGCATCCGTGTGTGCGTCAAATGCATGGTATGTAGTGTGTGTAATGTTTTCTTTATAGATTTAATGTATCTTTTGTGCATTATTTAAAAAAAATATTAGCATTGTGCACTTCTTCTCTATATTCTGTATAAGTGTGGAAAATTTCATACTCCTCCGTCCGCGCAATTTTCGTAAAAAGGGATACAAGGTTTTTGCTTCACGTATTAATAGTTATAATTAAACGAACGCACTAAATTATATAACTTTGAAACAGAGAATCAAACGCGGAAATCTTAGATTAAATAAATATCAAAAAACTAATGTAATCTTTTTTAAGTTTGATAAGTATATTACACGATATTATTACGCATGTTCTCTTATGAACAAGGCTTACATTTATGCTAAGTAAATGTCAACTGTGCCTGAATATCTTATCATACGTTCGTCTTCCGTTAATGTCTTATTTTTCATATGTTTTATTGCTTAGATGGGTGGACGAGCTCATAGCCCACCTTGTGTTAAGTGGTTACTGGAGCCCATAGACATCTACAACGTAAATGCGCCGCCCACTTTGAGCTATAAGATCTAAGGTCTCAGTATAGTTACAACGGCTACCCCGCCCTTCAAACCGAAACGCTTTGCTGCTTCACGGTAGAAATAGGCAGGGTGGTGGTACCTACCCGTGCGGACTACAAGATGTCCTACCACCAATAAAAAATATATTTATTTTCGTTTTTTTTCAATATCATATTTTTTTTTTGATTTTACTAGTTGCGTGTTTTTTTTCCCTACCTATGCTGATAGCCTTGAGAGGCTATTTCACCTACTCTTTGTCGTGTAGGTGAGCTCACGGGTCTCTAACCGGGAATGTTGCTAACACTGGCCCTAGGAAGAGCAGTGCTTCGCAGAATCTACCACCGGATCGGAAACGCGACCCACTGAGAAGATCCGGCGAGAAACTCAGTGGGCAGAGATAAGCTAGCAGCCTTTTTTTTATTGAGCGGCTATCGAAGCTATGTATATAGATCATTCTTTCTGCCAAGATGCTAACTCATGATAGGTATCGTAACTGTCGCTGACTTTGCGCGATGATCCATCAAATCCAAAACGGAATCAATCAATACATCGCGCCACAAATAAGCAGGGTGGTGGTACCGATCTATACGGTCTCACCTGGCTCTTACCACTTATTCACTCTCATATATTTGTATGTATTAGCAGGCTATAATTATTAACACGCTTTCATTAGCTCGGTATGTATGTTTGTTTGTAACGGACTGTTTTGACGTCATTACAGCCGACTTCAAGACGTCCGATTAATTTAATAAATAATGCTGTTAAGGATATTATCAAAATATTTTTAACTATTGATAACATGCACCCAACGCTTTTTTTTACAATAAATTAATTTTTTTTAGACTATTTTTAATTCAGATTTATTTAAATTTATTTTCTCTTTTTTAATTGGATCTTCTATAAAAGCATTATTTTTTTTGTTTTTTGAAACTATTATTTATTTTTAATTTTTTAGATGAATTTAAATTTTTTCAATTTTTTTTTTAATTTCTAAAAAATTTCATCTTAAACAGTCGGTAACTTATCCGAGAAATAGGCGACGGCGCGCCTGGTAGTTTCCCTCTTGGTCTTGACGCAAACATTCCGGGTCTCAGGAAAACAAAAAATCGCTAATCCTGTTTATCGTAGTAAGTATAACGGATCAAACTGTTTAAAATATTTAATTGTCATTGGCCCTTAATAAATATGCCAAATTTCGAGTGAATCTGACGTTTTGAAGGGCGTCAAAGTCATGTTCAAAGATTTCGTTACATACTAACATACGTATGAAGCTAATAAAAGCGTATTAAAAATTTGCGCACGTGTCAAGGATCGACGATGATGTGACGACGACAAAGAATAATTTTAAAACTCTCTCTAATATCCTGACCAAATATCAACAGGATAAAAAATATATGAAATTAATCATTAATTCGGTTCACTGTTTAACCATGTTCTTTTTTTTTTTCTCAAACTTCATAAATTTCTTTTTATAAGCGCAATACGATTCAGTTATTAGTTAAAAATGACTTCCAAAAATTGTTTTCTTTCATGTATTTCAGTGTTTCGTAACAACGGCGATAGGGTTCAACATCATTGGTCACGGAGCCGCCAGCGGATTCCCTGCTATCTTACTACCGCAGCTTCATAAACCGGACTCAGGGTTTAAGCTTACACGATCGCAGGACTCTTGGTTAGGTTAGTGGAACTCTTTTGGCTTGTAAACTGCGATTGGCGGGAGACGGAGCGAGGCCCAGCGATTTTCGGTCTCCATGTCAGACACCAAGAACTTGGCTGAGTCCATGCTCATTCATCTTTTTTTTCTTTTCTTAGATGGGTGGACGAGCTCACGGCCCATCTGGTTTTAAGTGGTTACTGGAGCCCATAGACATCTACAACGTAAATGTGCCACCCACCTTGAGACATAAGTTCTAAGGTCTCAGGTATAGTTACAACGGCTGCCACACCCTTCAGGGTGGTGAAATAAGCAGGGTCCTGGTATCTACCCGCACGGACTTTCAAGAGGTCCTACCACCAGTAAGCGTCCTGTCCTTGTGTAACTGAAAAAGCCTCCGGGCCATCAGTAAACCCACAATCATATAATTGCTGCACATACTGCAGCGTAGCAGTGACCCGGTCGTTAGCAGTGAATTTTGGCCGCGACCACCGTTGAGCACTCCCCCATAAACACAACCCAAATTGTAATGTATCGTGAGGCTTATTAAACACAATTAGCCTAAAAATATTTCCTAGATCCTCTAACACCGTCTACTTGCTCATTTCAGTCGCGAAGCAGTTGCGTGTTCTGATTTGAAGGGCTGACTTAATGGACGAGGAAAATTGAGATTTTGTCTCCAGGTATCTTTATTGTGCTATAAAATATATGCCCACTGATTTTCTAGTCTGATTTTCTTAGTGGGTCACGATACAGATCAGCGAAGCACTGCTCTTGTTAGGGCTTGTGTTGACAAACTTAGGTTGAGCCCACCTACTGTGAGTAGGTGGAATAGCCTCTTAGGCTAATAGGGATTAGGAATGGAAAAAAAAATTTGCACTCTCCTTGCAAATCGGCTATTGGTGAACGCCATCGGAACATAATGGCCAGACTTTTTAGTTCTCTTGGTAGACTCATTGCCAGCACTGTGATTTGCTAAAAGCAGTTGACATTTCTACATCAAGTCTCAAGGAAGTCCTGGCTCCAACTGAGCAAATGTTATCCATATGGCAACTTAAGTGTTTTGGTACACTACTAGGCTGCACTAAAAGTATCGGGAATGGAATATTTCCACTGTTCCTGTCATATTAAAATCTTTTTAATTGAAAACTCCTTGGTTTTAAAAATCGAATACCATTTATTTATTTAAAAAAAGATTCTCGGTCTTGTCACGAGGTTTTGTCGAACTTGTTTAGTCGTTGAGAAAATGGAATTGACTCGAGAAAATTCAAGAGCGATGATTTATTATGACTTCGAAGTGGTTTAACACAAAAACAGTGTGTTGACCGGATGATTTCTGCATTTGGTGATGAAGCCCCATCCAAAACCACAATTTATCGCTGGTTTGCTGAGTTTCAACGTGGACGTGTCAAGCTCAGTGATGATCCCCGTCAAGGTCGTCCAAAAACTGCAGTCACCCAAGAAAACGTTGATGCTGTGCGTAAGCTGATTGAGGAAGATCGACATGTGACATACCGCGAAATTCAGGCAACTTTAGACATTGGCATGAGTCAAATACAAATAATCTTGCATGAACAATTAGGTGTAAAAAAGTTGTTTTCCCGATGGATACCGCATTCGCTCTGTGAAGAGCAAAAAGCGGCTCGCGTTACTTGGTGCGTCAGAACTCTCGAAAGATTCCACGCAGGATCCTCAAATGCTGTATACAACATTGTATCAGGTGACGAATCCTGGATATACGCGTACGAACCCGAAACAAAAAACCAGTCACGAGTTTGGGTGTTCGAAAATGAGTTAAAGCCAACAAAAATTGTTCGTTCACGGAGTGTTGCATAAAAAATGGTGGCCACGTTTGTCTCCAAAACCGGCCATGTTACGACTATTCCTCTTGAGGGACAAAAAACGGTTAGTGCAGAATGGTATGCTAGCATTTGTTTGCCACAGGTCGTTTCTGAACTCCGTAAAGAGAACTGCAACCGCCGCATCATTCTCCATCACAACAATGCGAGTTCTCACACCGCGCACAGAACATAAGAGTTTTTAGAGCAAGAAAACATAGAATTATTAGACCATCCGCCGTACAGCCCCGACCTAAGCCCTAATGATTTCTATAATTCCCTAAAATAAAGAATAAATTGCGTGGACAGAGATTTTCATCACCTGAAGAAGCTGTGGACGCCTACAAACCGGCCATTTTGGAGACCCCAACTTCCGAATGGAATGGTTGCTTCAATGATTGGTTCCATCGTATGGAAAAATGTGTAAAATTTCGCGGAGAATACTTCGAAAAGCAATAAATATATTTTTATTTATTTAATGTTGTGTCACTTCGTTAATTCCCGAAATTTCAGTGCCGCCTCGTATAATGAATATGCATGTTTGAATTTCAGCGTCGACCGTCGGTTTGACCCTTTTACTGGGTAGTTTCTCAGCGGCTTCAGTAATGGGCACCAAGGGTCGGAAGGCGGCCCACTACACGATCAGCGTCCTGGGCATTGTTGGTTGGGTGATCACGATTCTGGCAACTAGTTTTTGGGTAATTTAAATTTTATTCTTTAATTCAGAGGTTAGTATTTTAATATAATCCTACATTGTAGGGGGAAGCTAGTTCGCTAGTGACCTTTTCAAATAAGTTTGCATGCTTACAACATTAGAACAATAACATCGGAATCGTCGGTCTACCGAGCAATTTCACCCGCTCGGTTGAATGTTTTCTCTTAATCTTTACCTTCCCAAACTGGTGCAGCCAATCTGACCGCGCGACTGGTCTATAAAGTAGCGAAAGCTTAAAAGTATCCGTAGAGATTTATTTATGTCTTTGACGTGCAATGCGAATATTACATGGCACCACCTCGGATGAAATAAATGATTTTGAAATTATTTAAAATTTAACCGAATCAACTTAGAATCTTATTCAAAGTTATTGATTATATTTATTAGATCCATATGAGGATCTTTACTATCAAGAAGATTTTGATAGTAAAGATCCTCTTATGAGTCCGCACGGGTAGGTACCACCACCCTGCCTATTTCTACCGAGAAGCAGTAATGCGTTTCGGTTTGAAGGGTGGCGCAGCCGTTGTAACTATACTTGAGACCTTAGAGCTTATATCTCAAGGTGGATGGCGCATTTATGTTGTAGAGTCTATGGACTCCAGTAACCACTTAACACCAGGTGGACTGTGAGTTCGTCCACCCATCTAAGCGATAAAAAAAAACTTAGAGATGTTGTTTACATTGTTTCAGCTATTAATCGTCGGCCGGATAATACTGGGAATCTCATTCGTTATGATGATCCCGCTTCGCTCTGCACTGATCGGTGAATACACTAGCCCCAAGAGCAGAGGCGCGTTTCTGGCCACCGTTTCCCTAGCGCAAGGCTTCGGAATCTTCTTTGTTCACCTCATAGGATCACTAATCAGCTGGCAAAGAACAGCGCTTGTATGTCTCTTCCTGCCATTCATAAGTCTGGTCATGACTTTATTCAGTCCAGAATCTCCGAGCTGGCTGGCTTCTCAAGGGAGGTACGAGGAATCCCGAGAAGCATTCCGATGGTTGAGGGGTGACCAAGAAGAAGACGAGCTTGAGAAGATGATTAGTGCTAGGATCGCATTCCANGGATCACTAATCAGCTGGCAAAGAACAGCGCTTGTATGTCTCTTCCTGCCATTCATAAGTCTGGTCATGACTTTATTCAGTCCAGAATCTCCGAGCTGGCTGGCTTCTCAAGGGAGGTACGAGGAATCCCGAGAAGCATTCCGATGGTTGAGGGGTGACCAAGAAGAAGACGAGCTTGAGAAGATGATTAGTGCTAGGATCGCATTCCAAGAGTCGAGACAAGGCAGAAAAATCACTATGTTCGGTACCATAAAAAAGAAAGAATTCTACAAGCCGATAATATTGATGTTCCACGCTTATTCGCTGAGTCAGTCGTGCGGCTTGGTCACTATGGCGGCCTTTTCGACGATCATAATTAAGAACGTCATGGGTGACGTGAATGCAGACATGTGGATGGTAATATTCGACACAGAGAGAATATTGACCAATACGCTGGCCGTGTTCATTATACACAAGTTTAAGAGGAGGACTATGATGTTCTCCGCCGGAGGACTGAGTCTTGCTAGTCACATTGGTGTTATATTTTATATATATTTAAGAAATAATAACAGCCTTCCCGTAACAGGGATCTGGCTTCCTGCGCTGCTATTGGCCTTGCAGTTCTTTGCAATGTCGGTAGGAGTGACTCCCATGCCAAGCGTGATGGCCGGAGAGGTTTTCCCGTTGCAGTACAGGAGTCTAGCTGGGAGTATTAGTTTAGTATCGTTATCGTCTACTATGTTTCTGATACTTAAAACTTTTACTGGCTTAATCGATTCCGTCGGTATTGAAGGGACTTACGCGGTATACTCGTTTTCTATAGTGTATTGTCTTCTCGTCATGTGGTTTTTGATGCCGGAGACGAAGGGCAGGACGCTACAGGAAATCGAAGATGGATTCCGAGGGAAGCCAATTGTAACACGTGAGCTTATCGAAAAGAAATCACTGAAGGATGATGAAACGGAATTAGAAACGAAGAATCTAACATAAAAAAGATCAAGATCAAATCTAGTTTAATTATTAGCGGCCTCGGAACCCGGTGATTTGCGGCTCGTGCAAGAAGTCATAAGAAAGAGATTATAACTCTATGACTGCAGTTTATGTGATAGTTGATGGCAACTTGTTTTCATTCGTGCTCACTAGAAGCTCTTTAAACTTTTTGGTGACATTATGTTTTGTTTAATTGTCTTGCCATTATAATAAAAAGGCGAGAATGATGTCATCTTGCATAGAATCGTACTCGCGGCTTGTAATTTCAAAACCACAAGAAAAAAGTTCTTCAAATATATTTACTAAACAGATGGCCGTAGGTAGAATCCGTGATTATTATTTTATAGTTTTACGCACGCTGTAGAGCTGGAAAAAGTCAATGACCCGCTTAATTAAGTTTTTATACACAGTTTTTAAACAATTAGAACTATGTGTTGCCATCCTGTAAATATTTTTTACAAATAGGATAATTTTTACTACATTAAATACGTTTTTTAGTATGTGGCTTTAAATTTTGGGCTGTGTTTATAAAATTACTTTTGTCTGTGGTAAAATAGATATATTAATTTATTATTTTGTATAATTACGAGTGATGTTCCGGATGAAGTAATGAACTTGAGTTGTCAGAATTAAAATCTAGAGGTCACAAAATATTTTTCTGTACTCGCCAGTACCTAGTATGCACGGTGATATTGTGGGATGATATATCCCTATATTTCTGTCTACCCATAGCCCTTATATTCTTCTCGAAAATTTAAACTGTTTCGTAAAAATCAGTTTAATTGTTTGTTGATTATTAATACTTAATAAATTTGAATATCGCCATATCACTTCTAATATTTTGTAAAAAAATCTTAAACTGTCGATAGCTTTTTATAAAATCCGAATTTAATGTAAAACAATATGAATTTATGACATAACTGTGAAAGCCAGAAAATGATTTTAAAAATCATTGGTTTATATTCAAATACCCTTCTGTAATTGAATTACCTTTAAAACCTACATTTTTTCAATGTAATAAATAATTACACCGGATTCTACAATGTTATTACATGTGCGTATTTCGAGAATCACAATCGCATTCAATGAAGTTTCATTCAAAGTTTGGCACACTATGCTTTGCGCGTAACTGAAAAAAATACGCCTTATTCCCTATTACCGAACTAGTACGTATTCTAGTATCATCGTCTATGATCGAAATTTTAGCAATTTATTAGAATAAAAAAGAATTGTTTTATTATTTTTGTATTCTATTTATTTTGTTAAATAAATAATAATTTATTGGTTATTGTGTGTTTTTAATTTTTAATCTGAATTTGGTCATTTTCTCCTAAATAATGAAAAGTCACGATTTGACAGAAATGCTTCAGTGGCATGTGAGGCCCTGAAACTGCGATACTTTAAGTCAAATACTTTATTGTATGGAAACTAGCGACATCTTGTAGCGGATGCCCCTAAAATTATATGTTGTTATGGTTATTGCATTTAATTATTGTATATGTAAGCACAAAAAAAATCACACATGTCTTTATTTGTTATATATTAGACAAATTGACAAAATGTTATCAATTTGTGGTTTCTGAAAATTTACAAAATCCTTAATTATTGAAAATTGTTGCAAATGATGTGACAATAAAAACCAGCAGCGTAACAACAAGCTCTTTTATTTGTGCAAGAAAGCAGAAAGCAGGTAGAAATGGCTTGCACGGCATGTTTTATTAACACTATCCCCCCTTCATTGGCTTTGGCTGGCGGCGGCGGCGGTGGCGGTGGCGGAAGAGGGCGTGTTAATATGGCTTGGCGGCTTGGCTGGCGGCAGGGCATGACAGCTGACGTCACGTCCGTTACAAAATATAATATAGGATAGGTAATATGTTACTGCTATCTACAGGAGCAATGAGAAACTAATCGAAGCGAAGCCATCTAGTGGTCGACACACCACTTTTTTGTTGAGTGCTTGAGTTGCTTATCTATAACTAATTTATGTGTATTATCTATGGTAGCATGCCTGTATAAGATAGAACAAAAGCATATCTTGACTTGTGTTATTGTTTTGACTATTGTGGCTGGCGGGCTAACGTTTGTTTGAGGTGATTCTTTTATTTAGTTTTTACCATGCTAGCGGAGCGGAACCCGTCCATAATAAATGCATTGCCCAAATCCACATTGTATTTCCAGATATATATTCTGGCATTTACCATTCAGCTTTGAAATTAACTTTCGTCTATGGTGTTTCCGGACCGGCATTATATGGCTTTATTCAAATGAGGTGTACGGAGAATCAGCTGTAGGTAGCGTCTTCGCACAAAAGACATTGCTGACGTCAATGTTCCAGTGTAACCATGACACAGTGGACCGTATGCTCAACCGCCGACAAGGGCAATAAAAAAAACACACCCAGTCCAAGGCAAAGTTCCAACAACTGAAACTCATCCCCAATATCGGCTTCGTGCAATGGCTGTTGTTGCAAACTCAGCGGTTCTTTTAAAGTGATTCAATGAGAGATTAATTTAGGAGTTATTCATTGCATAAAAACAGCCCCCTTACTCTTAAGAGGTCATGTAGCGGTGTTATTGAAGAGAGATAATTGATGAATATCAGAAACGCACGTGATGATTGCGTTTATAGTCGAATATTCTATCCTCGTATTTATAGGGGTCATTAGAACACTCTCGAGACAATTGGGATATTCGAGAATGTTCTAGTTATTTAGTCTCCAATTATTACCAATTGCAGAACCGCTTGCCCAGTTCTGCAGCGAAACAGATACGAGTTTCTGTTCTGCATGTCATCACCAGTTGCTGCCTGGTGGATAGCACGCCGCGGAGTGAGCCTTGCCGCCAGGTGCCTTCACATTCGAATCAGCTCAATATTCGCTCGACCGGGTTTCAACGTGCGCACGCTCTATTATAATTTTTACAATAATACATTTCTTGATATTCTAGCTTGATATTCAGACAGTGGTCCTTCGAGCCGGATCTAGGTGACTGGAGTTTTATAAGACTATAAAGACTTTCACCTCATATTTCAAGGTGGCTGAATCTTCCTAGTTATTATTTTTGGTCGGGTAACCAAGGTAAGATAAAAGTTTAGCCATTGCTAGATTAATATGAACAAGGTAATTGCATTAAAGGACCTTTGTTCCAAAGAAGCATTTTCTCTATTGTAAAAATACTCGTTTATTGAGAATATATAATAATATGGTAGTAAAATACTTGGTGTTTGTAAATGTTTCATTTTATTTGATCAGCCGTCGCATAATTAGAAGCTTGCTCAATGGGAATTAAGCCGATATTTTGTTACCAACTGCGTTAACGAGTCGGCGAAAATATGTGAGCAGTGTTATGAAACATAGGAAAACCTAGGTTGGTAGAACATTTCATAGGTCCGTGTTTTTATGTAGTGGTTATCACGATGTTTCAGTTTTATCAGTAGCACACAATATAAAAACAAATGTATTTGTTGTTAATGTATTTAAGGTCTTTAATTAAGATGCTGGCTCAATTCATACTTCGATTCCGTATTTTGGTAGTTGATTAGCAACTTAGATTACACCTTAAGTTGCCGTAATAGACATTAGCTTTTTAGGCTCAACTGAAAATGGCCGTAATGGAAGTTGACGAAGGGCCGATATATCCACATTTGCAGCACACAAGTATCGTTCTGATTACTTTAAAAGTCGTCGTGGCCTGAAAGATAAGGCGTCTGGTGCATTCGTATCTTGCGACGCACCGGTGTTCGAATCCCCCTGGCAGGTACCAATTTTTGTAATGAAATACGTACTTAACAAATGTTCACGATTGACTTCCACGGTGAAAGAATAACATCGTGTAATAAAAATCAAACTGCAAAATTATTATTTGTGTAATTACGTCTTGTGAGTCCGCATGGGTAGGTACCACCATTCTGCCTATTTCAGAAGTGAAGGAATAATGCGTTTCGGTTTGAAGGGTGCGGCGGCCGTTGTAACTATACTGAAACCTTAGAACTTATATCTCAAAGTGGGTGACGGAATTTGCGTTGTAGATGTCTATAGGCTCCGGTAATCACTTAACATCAGGTCGTGAGCTCGTCCACCCATCAAGGTAAAAAAAAAACTTTTAAAATTCAGTAAAAACTACAAATGACCAAACTCTAAAGTTTTACTATAACGCTTACGTCACCCATGACTTGTGGATCGACGTTCATGCACATGCGCGGTGTCCGTCTTTATCAATAGATAAAAAGTATTATGTATATTTTTATTGGCGATTTTCTTGTCATAAAACGATGATAGGCGTGTGGTATAAGACATCGACAGTGCGTCGTCCATATACGCGTGAAAGTTTTACGTGCGCTTAAAAAATAAATTCTCAAATAGATGATTCTCGTTTAGGCGAAAGTGATTTTTTGTGATTGCATCGACATAGAACGTTACACACATCATATTATTTATTAATTAATTAACTTATTAATTATCGTTTTTAAGTATTATTTCTTTGTGATTAATTTTAATTCGCAGAGAATAAGCGTGTGCAGAAAAGAAATACGAACTCTGTGGTTTAATCACCAATGCGTATTGTTATGAAGCTTTGAATCTAATTTGCGTTCGATTTACTTACTTAATTTTGGGGATTAAAGATCTAGTTTCAAGTACACGAATAGCAAAATTTAAGGTAATTTAAAAATGGTACATCTTTTAAATACATACTGTAGACTTCTGCGTAGATTGTAGTGTATTCAAAATCTTATCCATCTAAAGCTGTGATTTTAGTGTAGATTATTAGAGATTTAACTGGTCTTTTATCAACTTGTTCTGATAAGATGACAACCTGATACTGTGATTGGTATCTATTGCTTTATGATCCTAATCATATGTTAGTAAAAGGGATGAACAGCAGACCTTATCGTTGAAGAAGCAATAAAAACAAAGGATATAATTTAAAATGTGACATTCTTCACGCGAGGTGTTTAGGAAAGTGTGTGAAATACAGCGACTGGATTAGACCATTGCGTTAGTTTGCTGGTGGCAATATGACTTGTGGTTATTTTGACTATTCACAATCAAATAGTTCGTGTAATTGTTTGATTGCTTAGGCAAAGGCTTAGGCATTGAAGAAGTTGTTCGTAACTCGGTAAAGCCGTGGAACCACGTTATTTTTTTTTTAAATTAATGTTAAATAAGTTTATCGTAAATATTCATTAAAACTTCTCTTTAGAAAGACGACGTCGACGGTTGTCCGTGACCACGAAAACTGTAAAGTATATTAATTAACTTACATTTATATTATCTGAATAATATAATGACAATAAAATGAAAGTGAGATTATGTTATTTATTATAACATGTAAAAGTAGTTTTTATTCAATAAATAATATTAAATCAATAAATCCAAACTAAATGTTCAAAAAAAAAAAAACGATTTGCCAATACGAAAACATTATAAATCAATATTTGGCAAATAATATTAGAAAATATAATAATATTATAAAGAGGAAAGATTTGTTTGTTTGTTTGTTTCGAATAGGCTCCGAAACTACTGGACCGATTTGAAAAATTCTTTTTCCATTAGAAGCCGACATTGTCTCTGATGAACATAGGCTACATTTTTTAAAAAAAAATATTTTTATTTTTTTTGTTTCATATGTGTTTTAATGTTTCCGAAGCGAAGCGAGGGCGGGTCGCTAGTTAGAAAATATTTCCACTAAATGTTCACGACTCAAGTGAAATTCATGCTGAATACACATTGTATAGTTTGAATATTTTTTATTTATTTAACAAGATACGTGATATTTATATAATATTAATAACAAATATGAACGGACCCTTATTCAAAGTTCAATAATCCAACTGAATGCAATTAAATTGATTAATAATACGATACTATTACAAAAACAATTACAATCGACGTGTTATTTATTGTTTGATGTTGTATTATCGAAACTAAGCATTGGCGGAAATGTGATAAAGTTTTTTTTTGTAATCAATCCCCAAGAAACGTTTAGCGAAATTGGACTGTAATAAGCGCGACATTAAGTGTAATTTTCATTGTCTGAATTACGAAATTGTGAGTTAGAAACAGCATTTTTAATTAATATTAATGAAGCATATTTAGCGGAATGACACCGAACAAAAGCTGGATAACCCCGTTTATGAAGCAAGTGAGTAATTTTCTAATTTATATTCTGAGATATTTTGTTTTCTTATAACAATACTTATTTGTGAGATAAGCCATTAACGCTAGTAGTTAATCATTTAGAATATATTATCAAATATTTATGCGTGTATTTGGTTAATAGTCGATACCTGTTTGGTATATATTTAATATATTACATGCATTTATTGTAAGTTTATTTCCCAAATAAATAAATCTCAAATAAAAGACTAAAGATCAAAAATATTGAAAAGTAGTTAATGATTAAAAACGTCATTAATAGAACGAAATTCAAAACGCAATGCAAAATGAATATAATAAGCCTTGAGGTGTCAGTATTTATGATCAAATTTCAATCATTGGTGTAATTAAGAGATAAATATGATTAGAGATAAATATATTTAGAGATAAACACGCTTAGAGATAAATGTTCAGTTTAAGCGCTTCCAGGATTATCATCAGAGATGCTCGATGGCACTTAAAACCATCAGAAGCGGTGCTTCTATGTATTGTAACCAGTTTGATCCACATGTACTTGTGCGTGAAATCATTCAATTAGAATCAGCTTAAAATCGATCTTCAAAAGACATTAACTAGTGGAGTTAACAAGAGAAAAATAGTGGCGTGTTTAGGCGTGTTTAATGTTTAGTGTTAGGCGTGTTTAGTGTTTAGTGTCAAGCTGAATCGTTTTCGGGGCCGAAGATGGCACCACCCATCTTGAGGTATGAAGTGGAAGTCTCTGTTATATTGTATACGGTATTTCTTATATCCTTGAGCCAAAATCAGATCACCTTCGTATGTTCTGTGCACCTCCTGAACCGAATCTTCAAAATTTAAAACAATCTGATCTACTTTTGTCTATTAAAAAGGCATTTATAGATTTGTATGTTACAAACATTTTCCAATAAAACAGTTTATCGGGATATTGGTTAGTTCGAGATGATGTATAGGGTCCGTTGAAACCCTTACAATACTTAGTAAAATAGTACCTACATTATTAATGACGTAAAACTGTGATCAACACAAGGAATGAGAAATGAGTTTTCGTATTTTTGATTTTTAAGATCCTTGCTAAAGAATATTGTTACGTCAATATTGTTACGTGTTCTGAAGTCGTCGTGACCTAAAGGATAAAACGTCCGGTGCATTCGTATGTAGCGATGCACCGGTGTTCGAATCCCGCAGGCGGGTACCAATTTTTCTAATGAGATACGTACTCAACAAAAGTTCACGATTGACTTTCACGGTGAAGGAATAACATCGTGTAATAAAAATCAAACCCGCAAAATTATAATTTGCGTGCTCACTGGTGGTAGGACCTCTTGGGAGTCCGCACGGGTAGGTACCACCACTCCGACACTCAGTAATGCGTTTCGGTTCGAAGGCTGGGGTAGCCGTTGTAACTTTACTGAGACCTCAGAACTTATATCTCAAGGTGGGTGGCGCGTTTACGTTGTAGATGTCTATGGGCTCCAGTAACCACTTAACACCAGGTGGGCTGTGAGCTCGTCCATCCATCTAAGCAATAAAAAAAAGTCATACGTGGTTATTGGCACAGTGCATAAAACACGAAGTCTTCAAAGGCCGATAGGTGGATTGTAAGACATTCCAATGTTTAGGTTACAGTAGGCATCGGCTTGGCTCTGCCCCGACGGTAAACATTTACCATCAGGTGGTCTGTATGCTCGTCTGCCTACAAGGGCAATAAAAAAATCCAATAATAGGCGTAGCGCGGCGACTGAAACTTGCTGGCTGGATATATATACCTTATTTTATAGTGTTTCGTTACGGCTGCGGTGGGAAGCAACATCATTGGGCACGGCTGCACAATCGGCTTTCCTGCGATTCTGCTGCCGCAACTACAGCAACCTGGCTCCTTCATAAAGTTGAGTTCGGCCGAAGAGTCATGGCTCGGTACGTTCTCCAGTCAAATAAAAGATATACAACTTTGAAGTCATCGTGGCCCAAAGGATAAGACGTCCGGTGAATTCATGTTGAGCGATGCACCGGTGTTCGAATCCCGCAGGCGGGTACCAATTTTTCTAATGAAATACGTACTTAACAAATGTTCACGATTGACTTCCACGGTGAAGGAATAACATCGTGTAATAAAACTCAAAACCGCAAAATTATAATTTGCGTAATTACTGGTGGTAGAACCTCTAGTGAGTCCGCACAGGTAGGTACCACCACCCCGCTTATTCCTGTCGTGAAGCAGTAATGCGTTTCGGCTTGAAGTGTGGGGGCGGCCGTTGTAACTATACTGAGACCTTAAAACTTATATCTCAAGGTGGGTGGCGCATTTGCGTTGTAAATGTCTATGGGCTCCAGTAACCACTTAACACCAGGTGGGCTGTGAGCTCGTCCATCTATCTAAGCAATAAAAAAATTAAAAAAAGTATATAATTTAAGCTTGCCTCAATGATTTTGTTATTTGGCCTTCGGTGTTCTTGTCTCATATTAAAACAATGGAAGTATTGAGTATTGTAAGTAAGTATTGAGTATTAAGCGGTAGGCAGCGGCTTGGCTCTGCTACTAGCATTGCTGAAGTCAATGGGAGACGGTAACCACTCACCATCAGGAGGGCCGTATGCTCGTCTGCCTACAAGGGCAATAAAAAAAGTAGCTTTCTGTAATTGTTATAGCATTATTGCATATAATAAATTAGGTGGTAGGGCGCTTTTTGAGTCCGCACCGGTAGGCACCACCACATCCCTATTCGGTCATATGGTCTATGGTGAGTTTTAGTAAAACTAAATGGAATTTTATTTTCTTAATATTACAGCTGCAGTATTAGGTATCACGCAGCTAGTGGGCAGCTTCATCACTTCGCCCATCATGAGTCGGTTTGGGCGGAGATTCGCTCATTTCGTAGTCACAATACCTGTTCTCGTGGGATGGTTCACGACAATATTGGCAACCAACTTTGAGGTAAATTTATCGATTGTGAAGGAAAAACGTTTGAAATAAAATTAGGTATCTAAGAAAAAGAAAGGTATCTAAGGAAAAGATTTATAGGCATTTATGGCATAAGTTTTATTAAATGACAGATCTACATACAAGCTTATTATTTATAATAAATAATCGTATATTTTGCACATAGTTTCCAATTTCTAATTTAATTTTTCAAGCTAAGTAATATATTTTGCAATAAAACAATTTTTTTTTAAATAGACCACCTTATTTTCGCAGGAGCTGCTTCTAGGCAGAATACTTCAAGGATTATCCATCGGTATGCTGTCTCCACTTCGTTCGGTCCTTATTGGAGAATACGCTAGTCCCAGAAATCGCGGAGCCTTTCTCACAACAATATCATTGACCCAAGCCTTTGGGATATTCTTCGTGCATCTCATAGGATCAATACTATCTTGGCAGAAAACTGCGCTTATTTGCGTATTCTTCTCTTTTGTCAGTTTAGTTATGACGATTTATTCCCCAGAATCTCCCAGTTGGTTAGCATCTAAAAATCGATATGAAGAGAGTCGCGAGGTCTTTCGCTGGCTCCGTGGAAACGATGAAGAAGATGAGCTCGAAGAGATGATCCAAGCGAGAATGCTTTACGAAGACGCCGCTATCAGCCTAAAAGCCAAGAGAAGCGAGAGCCGCTTTCGAGAAATGATTACCACGATTAAAAAGAAAGAGTTTCACAAACCCATTATTCTGATGATGCACGCGTATGTGATGGTTCAATTCGCCGGTGGTACCACTATGGCCGCGTACTCCACCAAAATTATCAAGCTGATCCTTGGTCCAGCAGCTAATGCTAATTTCTGGATGATAGTACTGGACACCCAACGTCTCATCTCGAATTCTGTAGCCGTATTTGTCATAAATAAACTGAAAAGACGCACAATGATGTTTGCGACCGGCGGTCTGTGCGTGTTCAGTCAGATCGCAATTTCTGGTTACACTTATCTCAGATCGGAGCACGCCTTGCCTTACGATGCGATGTGGATTCCCGCATTACTGATTAATTTGCAGTTTTTCACTGTAGCAACCGGAATGTTGCCATTACCGAACGTAATCGGCGGAGAGGTGTTCCCTCTGGAATACAAGAGCATAGGCGGAACCATTAGTTTAGCTACGATGTCAGTATCGTTCTTTTTGGTCTTGAAAACCTTCCCAGGTCTAGTGGACAGTGTGGGCGTTCATGGCACTTACACAGTTTACTCACTCATGCTGTGCTACTGTCTCTTGGTGATCTGGATTTTGCTGCCCGAAACAAAAGGGAAAACGCTACAGCAGATTGAGGACGAGTTTAGAGGTCGCCCGTTGAACAGACAGGAGTTGGAAGAGAAAGAAATTTTCCATTCATGCCCGGTGCTGGCTTACAAAAGGAAAATGTCTATGCGCCGATGCAGTAGTCATATCTTGCATTAATGCAAGCTATTTTGAATGACAATTTGAAAGTCGTTCACGACAAAAAGATATGTTATCATCAGATATCCGTGGTGCTAAGTCTCACGAAACGGACGAGTGATTCAAAATACGAACGGTTCAGAACGGTTTTACCAAACGAGATTTATGTGGGTGAATAATGGAGATTTTCAGGTTTTTATCTAACTCAGCTTTGACTGATATTAAAATGTATGTATGTGTGTCGGCAGCTGGTTTCTGAATGTATATAAGATATTGTTGTTACGTATTTTTTCGCGGCGATAGATGTAAAAGATTAGATTTTATCCATTTAGATTCAATGATAGGATTATGCAATACTTTATGGAGTGTTCTGTAATCAATATTATGTTTATAATCTTTATGTTATAGTATGGCACAGTGGAATTGAGCCATTTTTATTGATATCAGAAATGTTGTTAATTTTTCTTTGTTCGTGATTAAAATCTCGTTTCTTTAGGTTTATTTGAAGTGAAACTTCTAATGCGACTTCCAACAAGGTTGCGTTGAACGCTTAAGGCTACCATGGAATAGAAAGAGACAGAGCGAGAGTGAATGCGTGGCACCCGAACGCATACGCGTAGTATACCTGTTACAGGCCAGCGCGAGCGTTAGCAATGAGTAGTGTCCAATATTTTAGAGAAGTATTTTAAAAAAAATATACTTATATATTTATTTTTCTATCTTTAATTTAAAATATATATAATATAAATGTTGAAGATTTCGCATCATGGGGGAGAAAAGTCCTCGAATGGAGGCCACGGATGGGTACCAGGAGCGTGGGGCGTCCTCCAACCGGTGGACTGACGACTTAGTGCGCACGGCAGGAAGTCGTTGGATGCGGAAGGCGGAGGACCGCATTACGTGGAAGGCATTGGGGAAGGCCTATGTCCAGCAGTGGGCAGATAAAGGCTGATGATGATGATGATATACAGCATTCCCTATTACAAGAGCAAACTGATTTAAGGATGAAAAATGAAAAAACCACAATACTACACATCGAAAAAGAAGTGTTTTTTAGTAAAATTACTGAATGCCGAACTTGAGGAGTTTATTGGTACATATATATCGTGTCCGAAATAATTCTATGGATATATTATGATGCAATGCGGTTTGAAACATCCAGACTGAGCACGTGTATCAAATTTCATTTGACTCCATACAGAAGAGGGCCGTTCGGATTGTCGATAATCCCATTCTCACGGATCATTTGAAACCTCTGGGTCTACGGAGGGACTTCGTTCCCTCTGTATTTTGTATCGTATGTTCCATGGGGAGTGCTCTGAGGAATTGTTTGAGATGATACCATCATCTCGTTTTTACCATCGCACCGCCCGGCACCGGAGTAGAGTTCGTCCATACTACCTGGAGCCACTGCGGTCATCCACAGAGCGTTTCCAGAGGTCTTTTTTGCCACGTACCATCCAGCTATGGAATGAGTTCCCCTCCACGGTTTTTCTCGAGCGCTATGACATGTCCTACTTCAAACGAGGTTTGTGGAGAGTATTAAGCGGTAGGCAGCGGCTTGGCTTTCCTCGGGTATTGCTGAAGTCCATGGGCGACGGTAACCACTCACCCTCAGGTGGGCCGTATGCTTGTCTGCTCACAAGGGCAATAAAAAAAATTACTGCCAAATAAATCCAAGTAAGGTTTTTGTTCTAGTTTTGAACTCGTCGCCATCTTAGACTAGAATGCTCCGTGAGTTTGTATCAAGCGAAGTGATTGTGCCGATGTTTAAATCTCGCAGGCTGATAGGTACCACTTTTTCTAAAGAAATATGTACATAAGACGTGTGTTTCACAAAAGCAGAGCTTCCGCGATGAAGACGTATTATCGTGTAATCAATAAACAAACACGCCAATTGTATTGTTATTCTGTATGTACTGGTTGTAAGACGTAATTAATGTTTAGGACGCTAATATAAAAAGCGGCGGGAATCATGGCCTCCCTGGTTTTTTTAGCCGCGCATGCGCGTGTTGTGACCAAAGGTTTCGCCACACCGGTATGTAGTGGAAGGTACTTATTTCGACGCGAACACAACCACTGTAGGTACTATATACAAATCAGACTTAGACATCATGATGATCTCATTTTGTGATTGTAAGAAGACGATAATCTGGCGATGGTATCTTGAGATCAGCAATACCAGGCGCACAGACAAACTCATTTCTCAGAATTGGTGACGGCGTTCACGTGGCGACGCCGTGGCAATCAGTTAACAACCGACAATCCATTCAATACCTAAAAAAGAGGGGATTGATATTTATTGTTTGTGTTTTTGATCGAATCGGCAGAAATAGGCAGATTGGTTGTACCTACACGTGTGGGCTCACAAGAAACCCTACATGTAAATTAAACAAATGTTATATTATATTAGAGGACAAATAAATCTATCCTGGATCAGCTTCGCATCCGAGTCAGGCTCTCAACAATCTGTTACCAGAGGATCCTCAGCTACTTCGGTCATATTGCCCGCCGACAGTCAGATAACTTGGATAAAGTGATTGTGACGGGCAAAGTAGAAGGAAAGAGACCCCGCGGCCGATTACCTAGCCGTTGGTGTGGTCAAGTAACCGCTCTAACTGGGTTGCCAGTCGCAACCGCCGTTCGAGCAGCTGAGGACCGGACGAGATGGAAACAGCTCAGGAGATAGGCAACGGTCAAGTTTCAGGGACACGACCTTCAACAATGAAGAAAGCGATGAAGAAGAAGAAGAATATTATAGTTTTTTGCAACTATTGTCTTTAAATTGTTTCTTTTATTCGTATAAGCGATCGCTTCTACAGACTATTATTATCTATATATATGTATATAACTATATTATATATAAAAATGAATTGCTGTTCGTTACTCTCGCTAAAACTCGAGAGCGGCTGCACCGATTTGGCTAATTTTGGTCTTGAATTATTTGTGGAAGTCCAGAGAAGGTTTAAAAGCTAGATAAATATGAAAATGCTCAGAATTAAATAAAAATAATAATTTTGTTTTTCCTTTGACGTGTCCCCCGTCGGAAGGCTTCCTTTTGTTTGTTTTATGTTTATTTTATACAAAAGTTTAGGTCATTTATTTATCGATTGAGGCACTACGAAGTCTGCCGGGTCAGCTAGTCTAAAATTAATTGAATGCTATTATCGTTCGTTTAAGATTTTGAATGTTCCCTGTACTGTTTGTTTGATGATTGCACATGACGTTTTGTTTGAGGATCAATTTTAATTGTAAAACAAAATTTTGATGTCGTCTTTGTATTTACGTAATCGAAATTTGATAATTGTATATTAAATGTAATGGATGTTATTAAATTATTTATTGAAAAGTAATATAAGATTTTAATTTCAATTATAGGTATGTATATTATTATATTAAATATTTATCAATAATTAATTTTGGTAATCGATATTTGGATATTGAATGAAATAAAAAACATAATTTTTTTATTTTTTTTTATTTGAATTTCTTAGATAAACCTGTCGTTTTGAAGAACAGCGCCATGAAATCGTGTAATAAATACACAATAAAAATAAATGCATTAATTACACAAATATGATTATTTACACGATTACAAAAAAAAATTAGATATAAAATAAAACAATAGGAAATTCATTTGTCTACTTAAAACTACATAAATTATTCTATTATAGCTAATAATACTCTTGGTTAATACCTATTATTAATAAAGGTTCGTGTTTGCACACTTTGTTCTAATAACTCGATTCATAAAAAAAGTTTTTTTGTTTTATATCACTGTCATTATCGTAACCGTTAAAAAATAGGAACAAAAAACATTGCCATTACCAAAATCAGTTTTTAACCATAAATAAAATTCATTACCTTTAAAACACCAAAATATATTCACTAAAAATATTTAACATAAATATAATTATGTTGTGAGCATTATAAAATTATTATATGACGTAGAATGTCCGAAATTCAATAGGTACAGATAAATACAGAAATCATTTATATGGATTTTATATTTGCGGATATTACTAGCGTAAAAGAAAAAATATATTTGAAAATTTTAATAAGTCTAAATGGTTTTGATGAAAACCTTTAGAAAAAAAAAAGTTATTATAATACAGAATTATGAATCTAAGCTATTCTCGAAATCTGTCAACGACTGACATTGACATATTAAAACGTCAAAGCCAATATATTATCTGTACACATTGTAGGCTGAGAGACCTATACAATTAAATTGCATCATAGCATAAAAACCGGACGCGATTTCACGGCGCTGTTACATCGACACCTAAACTATACAATGATAATGGCGATTTACATATTTCCAGCGACACAAGTACAGTTTCTACAAAACAGAAGCGTCAAAGAAGTTTTTATTTTTTTATTTCTTCTATGGAGTTTTCTTTGGCACCGGTAATGTCCTATTTTTTCTTAAGCCGACAACAAAGACTGATTGCCAATGCCAAAGAGCGCTTTAAAACGTATTTTCAGTATAGGAAGATCACTTAGCAATTAGAAACTCAATGAATTCTTAAAATCAACTATCATCGATTAATTAATTACACATGAATAGTAATGTAGTTATTTTTTTAGAAACTGTGATCACACATCACTGGCTAACTTCGAAATTATCACAAGTGGCATTGACATTTGAGAAGCATTGGAGCCAACGTTCAATACGCCAGGAATACATTAGAATATCAATACATTAGAAAACAATAATTTAAATGTGGTATTTGTACATATTTATGTTCCAACAAATAACAGTTGTTTTGTGAAATATGTAATATAATACTCAGTGAATTATTTAAATAAATAATTTAATAAAAAGCATTTAAAGCAGCATTTAATGAAAATGACCTATCCAAGTTACAAAAACAAGTCTACGATGCTAAGATTATTTTTAAAACGCTTTTATTAGTTTCTAAGGTCTATTACCGCCAGAGACAAGAATGGATGGAGAAAAACGTGCGTGCGAAGGTGATACAAAAGGGTGGTCACGACCCTCAGCAATGAGGAGTACGACGCAAGGAGGAGGAAGGTCTATTAGCATTTTCACTGTTAAAAAAATTCGACCCAAATCCCGTGTTCGCGGCTAAAGATTTCTTTATTCGTATAGATTATTATTATTTATTTTAAATATCATACTTGCGTACTTCTCTTTTCATTAT